TGAGTTAGTGCACGTACACCTAAATCTACGAGTATTATGTAGAGTATTTTTTCTTAAACCACAAGATGGTGTTGTTTTTCTTTGAGGGGGTCTGGGACATAGATGTTACAAGATGCTCCGTCCGGCATGACAATAACGGCCTAATAAGCAGTTGGCCTGAGGGTGTAGGTAAGCGTACGACTGACACACACACACACACACACACCTCCACCACAGGCAATGTAACCTTCACTTTCTAATTAATAGTAAACACTCACTCGTAAGACCTGTGTGGTTATCCCGGTGAGAGGGGCAGCCAGGAGAGTGTAATAAAGTAACTTATCGCTGGATAGAATTCTACATAATCATCATCATCATTTATTTCAATATATATTCCCTGAACAATTTTAGGTCACATTCATAAATAATCGTCAGTGTCATTCTGCTTAATACTACAAATAAATTACGTTCTGTTAAAATGTTTAGGTCACATCACCGGCACTCAGCTCTTGTCATTCCTTTAAATACATTTCTTTACAATATAAGAGTTTGCAGTTAGTGTACATTCATAATAAACTTAGTTAATTTTTTAGTGGGAATAAGGCAAACCGAACAGCAGGTAATGTTTACGAAGAAAAAAGTACTGTAAAGGCATTGACGTCAAGGTCCTCGCCGTCACAGAAAACGAGTTTGTGTTTAGAGAGAGAGAGGGAGGGGTGACCCAAATAGATGCAGGATACAAGGTCTCTCACTTTACTTTTATCCTCTTCACCACCGATCGGCTCGTTAGCCGCCTGGGCGATCGGTCACGTCTCTGTTACGCACTGTTGGCACGTACTGGGCATGCACCGGCTCCTGAATGTACCTGAACCTGCTCCAGTGTTGGTCAAGTCTGAACCTCAAAGAGCTCACACTCGGTGCCGTCACAACACTCTCTGGTAGATTGTTCCAAGAGTTTACAACCCTCACTCCGAAAAACTTACCCCTCACAGTTTTCTGGACTTGCGGCTTCTTCAATCTTGAGCTGTGACCCCTTGTGGGGCGAGCGTCCGCCAGCTCCAAGTAAGGACACTCGACTGAGTAGTGCCCCTTGAGATGCTTATACACCTCAACTAGGTCACCCCTTGCCCGTCTGTAGTATAAGCTAGGCAAGTTTAGGCGCTCCAATCTCTCAGGTTTGCTGAGGTGCCGAAGTGCAGGCACAAGTCTGGTGGCCCGCCTTTGAACATTTTCAACCAACTGACAGTCCCTAGCATATCTCGGGGACCAGACGGGGTGACAGTACTCCAGATGGGGAAGCACTTCACTCTTGAAGATCGTTACGAGGGACGGACCGTCTAGATATCTGAACGACCTTCTTATAAGACCCAATAAATTATTTGCCTGATTTACCTTCTTCTCGCAATGACCCGAGAACTTCAGCTCATTGTCAACATACACACCTAGGTCCTTCTCACATTCAGTCTCAAATAGTGCTGTTTCTTCATCCCGTTGGGACATATGATACGCCTCCTTACCGTTGGCACGCCCCAGGTGCACCCTCTTACACTTTGTGACATTGAATCTCAGCAGACATTTCTTCGACCATTCCTGGAGCTCACAGAGGTCCTTCTGCGGCTCTTCACAGTCCGCTTGGTTCTTGATTTCCCGAAATAACTTGGCGTCATCGGCAAACATTTGTATGGAGGAGTGTACAACGTCAGGCATATCATTTATGAAACAAACAGTAAGCGTGTCTGAGTCTTAGTGCAGCGATGATGATAAGATTACCAACTTTGCGTCGTAGTTTAATTTTAGGTGAGCTGCTGCTAGCAACAACAACAACAGCAACAACAACAACAACAACAAAAACAACAATAATAATAATAATAATAATAATAATAAACAGAAATATTAATTGCAGATATTTAGTGTGTATTAGTCACTAGAGAGAGAGAGAGAGAGAGAGAGAGAGAGAGACAGTAAAGGTGTGGCTAGTTTGGTATTTCCTCTCTCCCACATATGATGAGATCAGAGTTTAAGAAATTCAACATAAAACCAATACAACAGGGACTCACATTTCTCCAGGGTGACCTCAAGTTTGTTACTGTCGAGATAAGTATAACTGGAGGGAGAGTTTCAATATGGTCAACTGGGTAACTGAACTGGAGGGAGAGTTTCAATATGGTCAACTGGGTAACTGAACTGGAGGGAGAGTTTCAATATGGTCAACTGGGTAACTGAACTGGAGGGAGAGTTTCAATATGGTCAACTGGGTAACTGAGTATCAAAGTCGATGAAATAAACACTGAGGTTGATATTTCACAAGGAGGTATTGACCATCATCTGTGAACCCATACGATGTTAATTTCTCCAACACCGGTGTAAGGATCTGAAAAGTAAACAGCATTTGTTCAGTCACTAGCTGTCCCTGTGGCTTCATCAATTTGCTTAATTAATATAACTTTAGGATAAATCACTATTCTCTCGGATTTATTTTACAGTTTCAGTTCGATATAAAGTTTGAAGTAAATGTAGAAGTGGGAAGAAATTCGTCATGTCAATTTTCAAGTGGAAAATATGCTTTAACACTCAAGTAATAATAATAATAATAATAATAAGCGGTTTATTAATAGAGTTGCAGCCGGTGGCTGAAAATATACAGACTTACATTTGATTTAGACATAATGATATAATATGCGTTGAATACATTTACAGGGCTGTACAGTACATAAATCAGGAGTTGTTTATTATTTTAACAATAGATGGGATGGTGCTGTTCTTATATCTATCGGTGCGGGCTCTTATGGGCTGAATTTTGTTGTAGTGGCGGACTGCGTGAGGTGGGCGGGGGACTGCCGGTGGCAGGAGGCGGCGATAACGAGGGTGGTGCATTAGTTGGCTGCCAAACCTTTCCAGTGCTTGGTGGTGGAGGTCACTGAGGGATGGCATTTCCAGGGTGGAGAGAGCGTTGTTGTAGCCGGAGTAGTCTGCGCCGAGCATGATTCTGCAGGCCCTTTTCTGTACCTTCTCTAGCCGACGTTGTTGGGTGGAGTTGAGAGAAGACGACCAGGCTGGTGACGCATACGTTAATTTGGGGAGAATAAAGGCGTTGTAGATGGTCCTCAGCTCTGGCGTGGGTGTCCCAAGTGACTTAAGTCGTCGTAACATGTAGACACGGTATGAGGCTGCCTTGACTGTGTTATTTACCTGGGCTCTTCCAGTCCAGTTTGTTGTCTATAGTTACACCCAGGAGTTTGGCAGACTGCACCAGTTGGAGAGGATGGGCACCCACTGTGACTGCTGGGGCTTGCATTGGAGTGGTGGCGGTATTGATGTGCATGACTAGGGTTTTGGTGTGGTTGATGGTGACCTTGTTCTCCGTAGTCCATGCCTGTAGCCTGTCCAGGGTGTCTTGTAGCGATGAGTAGTCTGGTGCAGTGTTGTACAGTGTGTGTGTGTGTGTGTGTGTGTATATGGATATGTATGTGTATATGTATGTGTATGTGTGTATATGTGTATGAGAGAGAGAGTTAGTGCTGAATATACCAAGAACCTTAAAACAAAGCTGATTAGATAAGATTATGGTATTCCTAAAAGAGCGGCTTATCACTATCTTACCCCCTGAGCTCCATTAAACCTCAGCGATAACTGATACCAAAAACAGAGATTATTATTGGCATTTTCCTGAAATTGATTATTTCACAGATAGATAGATAGATAGATAGATAGATAGATAGATAGATAGATAGATAGATAGATAGATAGATAGATGTAAACAGAGAAACCAGATACCAGATGCTCAACGATGTTATAGACTGGGTGAGAAATCCGACTGTGAGAAAGATTTAGGAGTAATGATAAGTAAGAATCTTAAGCCAAGTAAACAATGTGTATTTGCTCATAACAAGGCTAATAAAGTACTTGGGTTCATACAAAGGAGTGTTAGTTACAAGACTAGCGAGGTCATCCTAAAACTATATCTTGAGCTTGTGAGACCTCACTTGGATTACGCAGTTTAATTCTGGTCACCGTACTACAGAATGGATATAGAATCCCTAGAAAGAATTCAGAGGAGAATGACAAGACTAACATCATCATTAACTCGAATACGCTGGATAGCTTCAAACATAGGTTGGGTGGATATATGAGCAATAGGCGTTGGGTGTAAATGGGACTGCCCAGTATGGGACAATAGGCCCGCTGAAGTTTCTGTTCTTATAAGAACATAAGAACATAAGAAAATAAGGAGTCTGCAATAGGCCGGTTGGCCTGTGCATGGCAGCTCCTGTCGAGAGTTACTACCACTCTCTATCATCCATGAATCTATCCAGCCTCCTTTTAAAACTTTCCAGCGTTCCAGCACTTACTACAAAGCTGCTAAGCTTGTTCCACTCGTCCACCACCCTATTTGTGAACCAGTTTCTTCCTATCTCCCTCCTAAACCTAAACTTATCCAACTTGAATCCGTTGCTACGAATCCTATCCTGCTCGGATATTATAAGAACTTTATCTATATCCCCGTTATTGATTCCTTTCACCCACTTAAATACTTCTATCATATCTCCCCGCACTCTTCGTCTTTCTAGGGAATGCAAGTTTAGTTTCTTTAACCTATCTTGATATGGAAGGTTCCTAAGTCCCGGAATCATTTTCGTCATTCTTCGCTGCACCGACTCTAGTGAATTGATATCCATTCTATAATAAGGACACCAGAACTGAACCGCATAATCGAGGTGCGGCCTGACTAGCGCAAGATATAGTTGCAATAAGACCTCTGCACTCTTATTACTTACACTTCTAGATATAAAACCCAATACCCTGTTTGCCTTATTTCGAACATTAACCCACTGTTTTCTAGGCCGTAGGTCCGGGCTTACAAGTACCCCTAGGTCTCTTTCACAAGTCGACTTCTTATGTTCTTATGGATGGATGGATGGATATAACTAGATAGATAGATAGATAGATAGATAGATAGATAGATAGATAGATAGATAGATAGAATATTTCTCCTCTGACACGTTTGTTTATTTCTGTTGCAGGTTGAGTCACAAGATGGCGGACGTTGATAAGACTCCAGGAGAGACCAACCCGGCATTCTTGAACGATGACAACAACACTACAGGTACGTCTTTCACCAGGTAGAGTGGGAGTGGGCAGGTGTGGGGAGGTGTGGAGAGGGTGAGGGGGAGTGGGAAGGAGTGGAGAGGGAGGAGGGGGGGAGGGAGGAGAAGAGTGGGGTACTGTGAAGATGAAGAGGAGGGAAAGAAGATGGGAGGAAAAGGTTGAAAGGATTAGTTAACGTTTATAACTGAACACTGCCTCTTAAACCAGCCAGGGAGAAGGACAGAAGGAAGGGCCCTGTGTGTGTGTGTGTGTCTACCTTACCTGGTTAAGTGTAGTTAGGTTTTAAGAGACATTTCTAGTCAATATTTTGGTTAAGACAGTACCTTTTATAAGAGTTCACCCTCATGGGAAATACCTTATACCTGTAATAACACTAACACACCTGAACTAATTACCCCTTCCCCTAAAAAAGATCAAATATTTCAAAAAACTGATTCTATAATATATTTTCTAAAGTTCAATCCCAGAGAAACTTTCTTAATTTGAACAAGAATAAAGTTTGTGAGGCTCTGTGGAGGTGTGGTGATGAGGAGGTGAGCGAGGCCACCTGTACCTCTCTCTGGCCCACTCGTACACCTGTTGCGGCCATTTACCTCACCTGGGGAGAGAGAGAGAGAGAGGGAGAGAGAGAGAGAGACAGGGTAAGAGAGAGAGATAAACAGAGGTAAGAAGTAAAGCGAATGAAAGAGAGAGAGAGAGAAAGAGACAGGGAAAATACTATCTCTTCCTCTCATTTCTCTCTGGTATTGACCTTCTTCAACACCTGTACACCCTTACCTTACCTTGACCTAACACCTTGACCCTATTTGATTAACCGTGACCAACTTAACCCTAAAATCGTCTGCGTAACCAAACACACATGGCTTGGTGACCTCGACAATTCCCTGATCCTAATTTGACCTAATCTATCCTTCTTCCTTCATCTGTTGTTAATTCCAGAGCGTTACCTATCCTTTCACCCTAATTCACCCCGTATATTATCCTCACCCACTGCATGACCTATTTTTTTTCATCTATTATTCTTCTTTCAGCAATCGCCAAGGCCACGGAGGCAGGGGACAGTTCCTCAGCCTCCCCCACGACGGCGGTGCAGAAGAAGGAGCTGACAGAGGAGGAAAAAATAGAGAAATTCCGTATCTTGAAGAATGTGGTGATCATCTCCATAGCTTTCATGTTCCTCTTCACTAGTTTCAACTCTATGGCTAACCTTCAGTCCTCCATCAACAAGTGAGTTGTGAAGTGCACAGGACCACTCCTCCTTCCTCCTGTTCTGCCACAGTACCACTCCTCTTTCCTCCTGTTCCACCATTGTACCACTCCTCTTTCCTCCTGTTCCACCATTGTACCACTCCTCTTTCCTCCTGTTCCACCATTGTACCACTCCTCTTTCCTCCTGTTCTACCATTGTACCACTCCTCTTTCCTCCTGTTCCACCATTGTACCACTCCTCTTTCCTCCTGTTCCACCATTGTACCACTCCTCTTTCCTCCTGTTCCACCATTGTACCACTCCTCTTTCCTCCTGTTCCACCATTGTACCACTCCTCTTTCCTCCTGTTCCACCATTGTACCACTCCTCTTTCCTCCTGTTCCACCATTGTACCACTCCTCTTTCCTCCTGTTCCACCATTGTACCATTATCCCTCCTTCACATCACCATTGCATCACATTACCACCCTCCTCCTCCCCCCATCTCTCTCTCTCTCCTTCCCTCTTCCCCATTTCTCTCACTCCCTCTCTTACTTCCTTCTCTACCTCATTTCAGTTTATAAATGATTCCCTCTCCCTTCCCTCCTTCACCCCTCCTTCCCCCTCCTTCACCGTGATAAATGTTACACCTAAGTCATTGTAACCAATAATGCTTTATCCTCCCATCCCACTCCACCATATTGTTTCATCATTATAACATTGAACCACTATATATCATTGTAACATTGTTCCCCTTACACTCTCACCCTTAACCCCTCCTTACTCCCCCCCTTAATTCCCCTTCAGAGTAGAGGGCACTGCGGCGTTATCAACACTATACGCGGCTCTGGTGGTGTCCTGTGCCTTCCTGCCTACTTGGATGATTAAAAAGTTCAAAGCCAAGTGGACACTCTGCTTCTCCATGTTGTGTTACTCTACCTACATCGCCGCTCAGTTCTACCCTACTGTGTGGACGCTTGTACCCACCTCCATCATCCTGGGTCTTGGAGCAGCGCCTATGTGGTCCGCTAAATGTACCTATTTAACTCAGGTGAGCTTCTCTGTCTGTCTGTCTGTCTGTCTCTCTCTCTCTGTCTCTCTCTCTGTCTCTCTCTCTCTGTCTCTCAGTCTCTCTCTCTGTCTCACTCTTTATTATCTTGATTAGGAAATTACACCTGTGTCCTAATTAAAGATTTATTAAACAAAGAACAAAGCAGGGAAATGTGTGTGTGTGTGTGTGTTTGCGTGTGCGTGTGTGTGTGTGCGTGTGTGTGTGTGTGTGCGCATCACTCTATTGGTTTTATTTACCCTTTGACCTTTGACCTTTGACCTTTAAGAAAGGGGTCAATAAAATAGTTTTGTATCGTAGATATTGAACCGATAATTAATCATGATAGTGGATGATGCCTTTTACCTGAAGTATATGTAGGTGAGTGACAGGTAATAACAACAGGTGGTGTGTGACAGGTAATAACAACAGGTGGTGTGTGTGTTAACAGGTGGGCGGAAAATATGCAGAGATCGTGGGAGAGAACGCTGAGGTAGTCATTGTTCGCTTCTTCGGCATATTCTTCCTGTTCTTCCAGTCAACACAGGTGTGGGGCAACCTTATCTCCTCCTCAGGTGAGTCACAGGTGTGGGGCAACCTTATCTCCTCCTCAGGTGAGTCACAGGTGAATAAGACAACCCCATCTCTGTTAAAGGTGGTAATTATTTTCTCGACTCCGACAAATGAACTAATATGAATCATCACAATAATCAAATACAAAAGTTTATTTATTTTTGTCTATCTTCTTTTTGTTGGGGTTGAATATTGTTTTACCTATTAGTTCTTTAATACACTCGAAAGTTGGTTTATTTGGCTTATTCAAAAACGTTGATATCCACCTGAACTTTCCTGAACGTGTTACCATCAGTTGGAAAAATATCAAAGTTGGTAAATATCACAAGTTTTCCTGATCCGATGATTGAAAGTTGCATATATTGATCTAATTTCCTTCTTGTCCACAGTGTTGTCTCAGGGTGTTGCGAATGAAGAGGAGATAGATGAGTTAGCACTACTCTCATGCGGGGTCAACTTCTGTCCTCACATCGCCAGCTCTGAGACCACCAACATCACTAACCTGGCCAAGCCTCCAATCTCTAAGATCTATACCATGGCTTCCATCTACCTGGTCTGTGCCATCATCTCCTCCGTGATCATAGCTGCCCTCGTCGATCCTCTCACCAGGCAAGTACAGACAGACAGTGATGGGGAGATGTGGGTGTCGTCTTTATCTCGATCATCACAGCCAGTCTTACCAGGAATAGGGGGGGGGGTGAGGTAATGCGGAAGAGAGAGGAAGGGGGTAAGGATAGATGGAGGAGAGAAGACTAGAAGGAAGGATAGAGAGAATGAGGGAGGAATAGGGGAAACGAGGAGGAGGAGGAGGAATAGAGGGAAGAAGAATTATGCGTCACAATGTACTAAGGTCAGAACCTACTCAGCTGTAAATGACCTGAAATGACCCTTGATGACCCACAATGATCCTTGGTGACCTGAAATGACCTTTGATGACCCTACAATGATCCTTGGTGACCCGAAATGACCTGTGCGTCTCCTACAGGTTCGGGGAGAACGAGAGGATGGGTTCGTCAACAGGTAAGAGTGGCTGGGAGCTGCTAGTGGCTACCTTCAACCACATGCGTCACCCCTATCAGCTGCTGATCATCCCCCTCACGATGTGGTCTGGCGTGGAACAAGCCTTTCTGGGTGCTGACTACACTGCTGTGAGTACACTAACACACACACAGAGCGCATATACATACATACATACATACATACATACATACATACATACATAAATGTCTAATATTTCCCAGAGTAATGTAATAGTGTAAGATACAGAGAAGAAAGCCATGACACCCTCACCCTAAATGACATGACCTAAAACAATGCCAATACTATTTACCAGCAGAAACTATCATCTCTCTTGGAGTCTGATTATTTGAACTTATCTTACGTGGCGCTAAGCATTATGTACAGCCACGTCAAAAAAATATCTATACCAAATTGTGCTGAAAAAATATAACACAAAGGACGAAGTATTTTGACAACACTACTGAGACAACATGAGTCACAGTGTTCATTCTGAAATTCATCGATCACCCCGAGTACAGTTAGTTTTTTGAGTGACTGTACTTTATATATGTCTTCTCTGTTGTAGGAGTATGTCTGTCTGTACTCCATTATCTCTTCAGGAATACAAAGTTAATCCATGAAGCAATAGGTCTTACTTCCTAACCTAACCCCAGGACGCGTTAGAGTGTTTAATCATCAGGTGAATCACAATCAAGGGCGTGTTAGGGCAAGACACCTTCCACTGCTAGGTAAATGAATCATTTTTCTGATGTGGTCTTGGTTCTCACAGGCTTACGTGTCGTGTGGGCTGGGTGTACACATGGTCGGGTACGTTATGATATGTTACGGTGTGTGTGACGCCATCTGCTCCATCACCTTCAGTCCGCTGGTGAAGATGGTGGGTCGTGTGCCCATCTTCACCATGGGGGCCATCATTAACCTGGGCATCGCCATCGCTCTCCGTAGCTGGACGCCTCACCCTGATGACGTTGTGCTTTTCTTCGTCATGGCAGGCCTGTGGGGAGTATCGGACGCTGTATGGCAAACTCAGATCAACGGTAAGTTAAGGTTGTAGTGACATACCATTCTTGTGTTCAGTTAAAAGTTCTTCAGCAGTACTTCAGGCTGGGTAGATCCTCACTACTGGCGTGGGGATAAAGAACTTATCTACACACACACACACACACACACACACACACACACACACACACACACACACACACACACACACACACACTCTTGTAAACGTTAAGGAATCTGAGCAGAATTTTAGTATGGACGAATAAGGAAAAAGAAGCCTTGTTTGTTGGATTCATATTTAGAAATGAGGTAATTTCCAAAGATGTTATTGTTTTAATAAGACCAAGAATATTGATAATGATGACTCGTGTAATGGGAGATGGCTGGTATAATGAGACATGGCTGGTATAATGAGACATGGCTGGTATAATGAGACATGGCTGGTATAATGAGGATGTTACTGAATGGAAGTGGGAGCTGGAAAAAGTGATATTTAAGAAAAAGCGAGAGTTTGTGTGTGTGTTGGTGTCATCATAACTAGTGGAGGTCTCTGCCTGATAAGGACTTTAAAAGCTTCGAGGTATCGCTGGATCTTGTGCACAGAAAAAAAAAAACATATTCTTTCACTGTGTTTACTTAGATATACAATTATTAACCGTACTTCACAGATAGAGACAACAATTATAAATGATACGTCTTATGCTCACCTCCCTATACATACCAACATTGTGCTTCTCCCTTCCAATACATATGACCAATGGGTATCTCTGGTGGTGGGTGCTACTGCTGTCTTGTTGGGCGACACCACAGCTCTGTACGGCTGCATATTTATGAACAACGCAGAGGCGGCTTTCAGCAACTACCGCTTGTGGGAGAGCATGGGTTTCATTATGGCCTACGTAGTCTCCACCTCCTTTTGCCTCGAGTCCAAACTTTACTTCAATCTGGGGTTCCTGCTGGTGGGCATAACAGGGTACTACATCATCGAGTTCTTGGAGAGGAAGAAAAGGCAAGCCGTCGGCAAGTTGTAACTCGACCTGTCGCCAGAGGTTCTTCTTGGTTAAGGTTTGCCATCCACGCACCCGGTCTTGCATTATCCTTCTGGTTGGTAAAGATTCGTACATCATTTTCTACATTCCCTTACTTTCCTTAGTTACATTTATTACAGTGGGTTATGTCCTTTAATGCTTTAACTGGCCAACAAATTACACCACTATATCTTTACTATAGCTTGAGGTATATTCTACTCAGGCCAGCTAAAGGAAACAAGACTTGATTGCTAGTTCATTCATAACGCCGCGAGCAAAAGAAATCCCTCATGAGTCGTCGTGTCTAAATGCAGTTAAAGATGATGTACGGATCTTTAGAACTTAGTGTCGTTAGGGAAATAAACTGCATGGCTTTTGCTGTAGTCTATATGAATGTTAACGTTAAATAAACTCCCGTTCAAATGGGCAACTTAACTCTAAAAATGAAGGTCTAATTTTAATGGAGTTTGGTTTAATTGAACATGAAAACTAAGAGACCAGAACCTTATCAGTATGAACGAATCTTAATCTATTTTGTGTATGTAATATAAAACCGCATTATACACGTGTTGTAAAAATCATTATATCATTGTCTGTATGAATATTTATCTCTCTGCATGGATCTCTCTCTTATTGTCTGTATAAATCAATATCTCTCTCTTATTGTCTATAAAAATCAATATCTCTCTTATTGTCTATAAAAATCAATATCTCTCTTGTTGTCTATATAAATCAATATCTCTCTACTTGTCTATAAAAATCAATAACATCTTTTCATTGGTTATTTTTTATCACTGTGTATGCATCAATAAATCTTTGCTTGCATACTGACTAGTGAGGTATTCTGTTTGTGAAGTATATTTTTCGGGACATATCTTAGCTCCCTTAACTGTTAATACCAAACTTGGATAAGAATTACGTGTGGATCATCTCCTTAACCCCAGTGTGTGTTGGTTGGTTATCTGTCAGCATGTTAAGATCAGTTTTAATTTGTTATGTATCTACGTCACGAGGCTGTTATGTAAATACTAAACACTTTTATTGCATGTTAATAGTAGTAGTAGTAGTAGTAGTAGTAGTAGAAGTAACAGTAGTAGTAGTAATAGTGATTCTCATAACTCTTCAGTATGTGTCATGTCTAATCTTTAATTATCAGATAAGAAAAATTACATAATAATCCATTGCTAGAAAACTTCCCTTGACGTCAATTGATTTATCCTATAAAACAATGCATTACTTATGTCAGTGAGCTGAGATAACAATTGGAACAAGTATGTCAAAATTGTACTACTCTCTCTCTCTCTCTCTCTCTCTCTCTCTCTCTCTCAACCATTACCTCGGTATTGACAGCTCAGTTTCATGAAGTCTGGTGAAGGTAAATAAATACGTCACTAGGTAAGCCCTCCACCACTACCTGACAATTACTGTAAATGATGTTATTATTATTATTATTATTATTATTAGTTTAAGGAGGAGGTTAGAGGCCATAGAAAGTAGTAGTAGTAGTAGTAGTAGTAGTAGTAGTAGCAGTAGTAGTAGTAGTAGTAGCAGTAGTAGTAGTAGAAGTGTAAGACTATTTACTGTATCGTTAGGGGTCATCTGCCAAAACCATTATTACAGTCCCAGGTTACCTTCACGAACGCTTACCTGAACGTCACCTGTTAACTGTACAAGTGACTGAACCTTTATCAGCGGCTCATGTACCACAACTATTATCCTGATAGCTGAGAGAGACTTTTCTAACTGACCCATTGGTAAGTTCCTTCACTCCCTAGCAACCACGACAGCTCAGACAAGTGGATCAGGTGCTAGGGTAATAGTCAACACGATACTTTGTTTAGGACCTCAGATTTAACCTAACCAAAATCTGATGAATACTAGACCATATAAATTAATACCCAAAGCTCCATATACCTACAGTACAGCTTCTTAACCATCCATGACCCTTCACTATAGTACACTACAAGTTGTCATTACTATTGTCTGTGTACTGTCTGTGACCCAACCATCTTCAGTGTTATGCATCTGAGGTAACTTCACGTTTATACACTGTGATACAATGTACTTTACTAGTGTGTCTTTTGATAACAGGTCATAAAAAACATTAATAGACACAAAAATCTGTATTCAATAAAGTCATAAAAATTTAGCTTTGGATTATATATTATAAAAACTTAACTACAGTAAGAGATCGTAGATGACTGTTAACAACCATTGAGAATCATCTACACATACACGAACTCCCACTCAGGAATCTCCACAACCTACCCTGTGGCATATAATCTCACCCCGTCATCCCCTTCTTCCGTCTTCCACAGCCTTCTACGGAGTGATCTTCCCTGGGGAGTCTGAGGCGGCCTTCAGCAACTACCGCCTGTGGGAGTCACTGGGGTATATCTTCTCCTACGTCGGGAGCGCCACCTACTGCATGGATGTGAAGATCACCAACGTGGTCGTCTCCCTCGTGTTCGGGATCATCGGCTACTACGCCATCGAAGTACTGGAGCGTCGTGGAGGCCTCAAGAAAGATGATAAAAACAACGTGCTTACCATTGACAGGCTCATTAAAGACAAGTTCTTCGGCGGTAAGAACTAATGTTGATATCTCTTAAAGGGAAATTAATTTACGTACAGAGAGACCTCTGTGGCCAAGAATAAACTATTTACGTACAAAAGAAACTATGGCCGTGGTTAGTCACACTATGTTACAAAATTAAGTGAATTAATCTACGGGCGAAACCTCTGAATATTTTCATCACGGACGAATTCATCAGAGGAAAAAACTTACAGTGGCTGACGATATCTATATGGTCACGGACAGTCAAACTTTCATTTAAAAAAGTTGTAAATTTAAGTATAGAAGCCTGATGAACACACTCCTCAGAATGAAGTCTTCGGTGGACATAAATACTGACGAGGTAAGATACGAGCAGACTAAGGTGTGGCGGCTGAAAGGTTACAACACAAGCCTCCTATTCGCAGGTCACTTGTTCGCGTCTGGAGCCCCCCCAACTGTGATCAAAATATGGTTCTCTGGGGTCTTATGCCGAGTAAAGGTACAGGTATTAATGTGATCAACTTTTTTCGTTATGTTTCATGAATATATAAACAGGGAACAGATGGCCACCGTCTTCTACGTTATGTTATCAATGTGTTATATCCATGTTAGGTAAATCTCTTCTTATCCATTATTTCACTTTCAGCCATAACGAATTATAGATCTTGTATATTTTCAATGATGATCTACTCTTGTGCAGGTGTGAGAGACAAGTTATATATATGTACACACAGGGATACCTCGTCACTTGTGCAGGTGTGTGTCAAGTGCGAATGGTAAGGCGTTGTTTCAGAGATTCAATTATGACACCTTAGATATCTTATAAACCTCTGCAGTACACACACACACACACATACACACATACACACTATTGACGTCTCCTGTACGCACATACACACACTATCAACGTCTACTGTACACACATATCCAAACATTATAACACTTCCTTTACACACACACACACACACACACACACCATTAACGTCCCCTATACACAAAGGATACCAGGACTAGTGTCAAGGTAGCCGTGACACCTAAAGTAATACCTTAGTTATATATTTCCGTTTTATTGTAATGGTCACTGACGTCAAAACACGTCACAGTGAAGCTCGTCGACTCCTTCTAACTTAAGAAGCTGCGTACAAGAATCATGGCAGATAATGTGTATTTATTACCGAGATTAATTTATATTAATCATTGTTAGGGTTTGCTATATGTCAGAGTTTAGTTAATATATATATATGTGTATATTTTGGGTTTGTTTAATTGGTTTTAGTGTGTGTGTTAGTCGTGTAGTTGACGGTAGATTTGTTAATATGAGAACTGTTTTTTCTTTTTGCCTAAACGTGTCTTCTGTTGTATTTCTGCCTAAATGTGTCTTGAGGTTATTATTATTATTATCATCTTTAATAGTATTTTTATTTATATAAATCAATAAATATCTCTTTACTCGTGGCTGACGCTAATTGAATTTAACATCAACAGAGTAAAATGGCGAAGAATAAAAAAAAATGTCTAGCAAATATCTTTTAAAAATAAAAATGAAAAGATGAAAAAACTCTATAGAACATTACTGGGTAGAAGATACTTAGTCAATGTATCTTAGTTATTCAATCAGTGAATTAGTCATCCAGGATCAGCATTCATTAAGCTCCCTGACGTATTTCTTATCGTTACAAGGAATAATAGACCTCAAGACACTGTTAAGACAAGGCTTGCTTCACATTGTATATACATATAATTATGAGTTTATGTATATTTATGAATACGAAATCTAATAAAAAACACTATATTATACTTTATATAATGTATTAATAAACCTTTCGGGAATTACCTTTGTGAATAAAACAATAATTATTATTTAAAGGTAAGTTATACTACTATTACGACAAGCTAGTGATGAGTTATACTGCTAGTACAAGCTAGTGATGAATTATATTACTATTACGACAAGCTAGTATATGTCAGTCCAATTGGAAAATTTTAAGGCGAAGAGCTATAAATATGGAAGCTATAGAAGGGCATATTAAAGTGAGAGAACTGTTTTGGAAAAGCTCTCAGGGAAAAGCTATGACGTGAGTGAAGAAAGAACTGGAAAGCTAAAATGATAAAGGTATGAAATGAGAGAAACAGAAAGAGGGAAGCTAAAATGGATAGCTGTTATGTGAAAATTGGAATGGATAAGCTAAAAGCTATATGAAGTTCTTGTGATTTATTCAAGATATAATTAATGTAGCTGAAGTAATGATATTTAGCTGAGTTGTGAATGATAGACCTGATGCGAGAGAGAACATAATTATAATGATGGTAATAACAATAAATACAATTATAATAATATTAACCATAACAACGATAACAAATAAATAAAAAATTACAAAAACAACAACATTACGTAATAATAACAATACTAATGTTGTTGTTGTTGTTATTATTATTATTATTATTATTATTATTATTATTATTATTATTATTATTATTATTATTATTATTATTATTATTATTGACTATCTATCAACACACAGTTATCCAGCTTAATATCAGCACTGGAATTCCCTGAACTATAACAAACACGTAAATCTCAGCCATTACCTCAGGGTATTTGGTTAAGCATAGTTATTTTTAGCACTGGTTCCTATCGCCTTGACACATAAACTTAGTTCCCGGGTGACGTTAGTGCTTATGGAGGTACAGTACTGATGATGATGATGGAGATAAAATGGCAAAGGGAGAGCTCAAGGGTACAAGGGGGGAGGAGGCTAAGCTAGCTAGCAAGGGGGTGTGTGTTGTGTTAGTTGGAGAGGTCTATAGGTCTTTGTGTAACTAGTAGAAATCTCTCATCTTTTATCTTATTGGTTAGGTTAGGTTATGTGTCAAAGAACGTGTGTCTAGAACGTGTGTCTAAGAACTTGTGTCTAAGAACGTGTGTCAAAGAACGTGTGTCAAAGAACGAGTGTCTAGAACGTGTGTTTAAGAACGTGTGTCAAGAACGAGTGTCTAGAACGTATGTCCAAGAGCGTGTATCTAAGAACGAGTGTCTAGAACGTATGTCTAAGAACGCGTTTCTGAGAACGTGTGTAAGAACGTGTGTCTAAGAACACGTGTCTATGTACATGGGACCCAAGATGGGACCACTGTGCTCCTCATCCTGATCAACGACGCTCTATCGGACACTCCTCACAGGTGGAAGTACGTGGATGACTGCACTGTGGGAGTTACAGTGGACAACATCTCACCAGACTACTCATCGCTACAAGGCACCCTGGACAGGCTACAGGCATGGACTTCAGAGAACAAGGTCACCATCAACCACACCAAAACCGTAGTCATGCACATCAACTACCGCCACCACTCCAGTGCAAGCCCCAGCAGTCACAGTGGGTGCCCATCCTTTCCAGCTGGTGCAGTCTGCCAAACTCCTAGGTGTAACTATAGACAACAAACTTGACTGGAAGGCCCATGTAACTAACACAGTCAAGGCAGCCTCATACCGTCTCTAAATGCTACGACGACTCAGGTCACTTGGGACACCCACGCCAGAGCTGAGGACCATCTACAACGCCTTTATTCTCCCCAAATTAACGTATGCGTCACCAGCCTGGCCGTCTACCCTCAACTCCACCCAACAACGTCAGCTAGAGAAGGCACAGAAAAGGGCCTGCAGAATCATGCTCGGCGCAGACTACTCAGGCTACATCAACGCTCTCTCCACCCTGGAGATGCCGTCCCTCAGTGACCTCCACCACCAAGCACTAGCAAGGTTTGGCAGTGGACTACTGCACCATCCTCGTCATCGCCACCTCCTGCCACCGGCAGTCCCCCACCCACCTCAGGCAGTCCGCCATTACAACAAAATTCAGCCCATAAGAGCCCGCACTGATAGATATAAGAACAGCACCATCCCATTTATTGTTAAAATAATATACAACTCCTGATTTATGTACTGTACAGCCCTGTAAATGTATTCAACGCATATCATTATGTCTAAATCAAATGTAAGTTTGTATATTTTCAGCCACCGGCTGCAACTCTATTAATAAACCGTTTATTATTATTATTATTATTATGTGTCTAAGAACGAGTGTCTAGATACAGTTAAGGTGTCCTTAGAGGTGTACGGAAGTAATGTTGGCGCAGTGTATTCATGCTGGTGTAGCTCTTGGGTAACATTCCCAGGTGAGTGTACTTGTTTTGGTATCCACTGTTTATATCCTAGACCGTGTTCCTGGTTGATACATTTATCTTACACAGGGAGTTAGAAAGGAATTGGTATATCTGCACTGCGTTCCTAATTCTGTATGTGTAATAAAATTGATAAGAAACTGTCTGAATCTGATTGATATTTCACAAGAAAGAAACTAGGTTGAGTTGATACGTAGGAACCCATCAGGACATCCGGCTTACGACATTGTGGGGTTACTAGATATCCAAAGGAAGTGACGTTCACAACATCCGCTCCAGGATAACTAGCCGCGTCATCATAACACACCCAGCCAATAATGGGTAAATTGTATGACTCAGACACACAACTCCCGATTGAGGGGAAGGCGTGTGAGTCGTCTTCGTTCACTAACCCTTAGGCGTTAAGTTATAGCTCAAGACACCACCAGGCACTTCAAGTAGGTGAAGGAGTGGAGCAATAGCGTCTATATGATGGTGAAACAATACTTGGGTAGACTAGTAACTTGCCTGGGGGTGAAATGGTAGTTACCTTCTTAAATTTAATAACTCATAAAAGCATTATCACGAACTAGGAAAACTTATAGTGGCGAGCTAGTAGTATGGTAGTAACATGGTAAGGGTGCGGTAGTGTTACCATCATGTTCTGCCTGACAAAACCATTCAGTGTAGTGACCATCCATGTTGTTTCGGACGCCTTGTAGTGCTGCTTTAAGATAGTTAACTTCACTCTGGCCTCATCTATGTCTTTAGCCTCTGCCTGAAGGCTAGTGGTCACACCTTTCAAGTACCCTAGTGCATTGTTGGTGATCACCAGGGAAGTCTGTGCTGGTGATGGCGAGCAGCAGGGTCTGGGCATCAGTCAGTGAGTCTGTGGACCAGATTGCAGGACCACCCTCCACAATCTTCTCCAAGCAGGCCACCACTGTGGGATGTAACTCCACAAAGGTTGCTAGGTGTCGCCAGGTCAGGTATGGGTTGGCCTCACCATGCAGTACCTGGAGGGGGGGTCTCCAGGCAACCAGGAAACCCCCCCTGGGTACGCCACTGACAATGATGCCAGCTGAGAGGAGGCGGGAGAGGTTTTCCTAGTGTGAATTTTTTTTTTATACACTGCCTGGAGGCGAGCCTGTCTACGCCACTCAGAGACAGGCAGCCGACCAACACCAATACTTGTTTCGTCGTCTTCTGTAAACACGAAAATTATCGTTATCTTATTCTTTCTGTTTTCATCACATGTTTCCTCCAGTTCTACGATTAATCGATTCATTGAGACAACAGTTTATGTGTTGCTGGCAGGCGTATAAGTATTACTTTAATGGTATTTCTAGCTCACAAAATCCAGTCATTATTATAAAGAAAATAAAAAATTTCAAATTATTGCTTTCTTTTATCTGATGCAACATTTTAATTGATGATGGTTACATATCACTTACTTAACAGTACGATATCTGCAAGCTGTAATCTTCATATTAAAAATAGTATGGCTTAGAACTGTGTTGGTGAATCCAGTAAACCAACAAATAAAAATAGAATGTACAAAATCTATCCTAACGGCCTCGAAATTCCGAACCGGGAGCTTGGCTGGGTGCATCCCTCCCCCACCCTACCTCCAGACCAGGTAAATAACAGCCCAACCAAACCTAACAATAGCCTAATAATAAACTATCACACCCAAATTACTAATTACAATCTTGTGTACAAAATGATCTTCGTACGAGGTAACTAGTTTGCCTGATGAAGAACCCTGGCTAGTGTTTGGTGATCGTCTTTATCTGGTGGTTTCAGCTGTAGTAGGTCGTTTGTGAATGTGACCCCTCCCTCCCCACACAGTTATCCTCCACCTATCGTCTCTTCATCCTTCTTCGTCTCGGACTTACTGTGTCTGAACTCAAGAACGTTAACACAACCTTCATACTTCTTAAACTCACCTATGTCTCCCCTCCCAGGTCTTCCTCCTTAACTGCTACACAACAAGGACTCCTAGAACGAATGCAGAAGACGATGTGCAAGATTATTCGATACCCCTTTTACACCACATATCAAGAGGCACTCAGTACACTAGCCCTCAACTCCTCGACACAGCCACCTGCTGCCACTCGAAGTTCCTCTTCCACGAATTTCTGTTCGACACCAGAATCGCATCAAGCCCATAAGACTTCACAGTGAGACCTCCAACAACAGCATCATTCCAATCGTTGTAAAAAAGCCTCAAATATTTGTAAATAACTTACTTGCCCACATTATGTTTCATCTCATTTTTTTCAGTGTATATACATTGAAAGCTTTGCGGTAGACGACCCTCTCCCCTATGTCACTCTATAATTACTGTATATATTCGTGATCTCCGGCAACAGTTTTGAAAATAATGAACTGAAGTTTGGGATGGGGATGTTAATGAGCCATAGACGTATCCCGACGGTGAAATTTCGTCTAAACTGAGAGATGAATGACGGCCTCACCGGTGCCAGCCCTCTCATACTGATAACAGTGTAGCTGATGTAGTGTAGATGACAGTGTAGCTGATGTAGTGTAGATGACAGTGTAGCTGATGTAGTGTAGATGGTAGTGTAGCTGATGTACTGTAGATGGTAGTGTAGCTGATGTACTGTAGATGGTAGTGTAGCTGATGTAGTGTAGATGGTAGTGTAGCTGATGTACTGTAGATGGTAGTGTAGCTGATGTACTGTAGATGGTAGTGTAGCTGATGTAGTGTAGATGGTAGTGTAGCTGATGTACTGTAGATGGTAGTGTAGTGTCCGTGTTTGACAGATACATTAACATAACAATACCCAGAGGTGTTGTGTTGTTGATGGCCTGAAGATCAAGGGTCAAGGACACAGATTTGGAAGAAAACAATACCGCCTGTATGAGATGGCACCTTCCTCGAGTGCAATGTAGCTTTGTTTGTTTTGTCACGCTCTTAGCTGTGAGGAGCACGGGGCCTCATCCCACCCAGACGTAACAATGCCTATAGTATCTTCAGGGAGCTCTATCTTACATGGACCTCAATTTTAATGGGATCCAACTTTGTCTAAACGGACCTATTAATTAGGATTGGCGTCCCTTAAAACTAGGACCGATTATTACTGGGCCGTCATCCTCTTGGTAGTAGGTAGTAGGCAGCTATTAAACAGGGAGGTACTACCGCCTGGGAAGATATTGGAAGCATAATGTGTTGTCTAATGGTAGACTCTGTGACCAAGTCCCAGGTTGCTGATCTGACTTTCTGCCTCATTTACACGCAATTGCAGGGTCTCAATTGTTTCTCTTACCATTGACAACACAACATTCACACATCCTTTTTCACTATTGATCTTTTTTATATTTAGTTATGATTATTATTATTATTATTATATTTTCGCCTCCGGGCCCTGTTCCCGAGTGGGATAATGCCCGTAAAAGAAAAAAGTTAGGCTGGGGACTATTAGATCCGGGACTTAATTGATCGGCCATCGTCTCCATGACACAGTTTTAGAATATGTTACAGGTAAGCGACAGGAAGACGACTTACTGTTAGTATCACCATAGCCTGCAGAACTGTCCAAGGTTACAGAGAAGTGTCAGGAGTGTCGAAGGTTCATGCTTGACTCTCTTTAAGCTACGGTTCTAAGATAAAGAAAGCCTCGTACGGTAAATATCCCTTTAGAAACAAACGTTACAAATTATCTAACAGACGATACTTAAATCAATTATATAAATTTAAGTTGGGATTATCCTTTGAAAAATAACTAAAAACTTTATCATTATTTTCATGTATAAGTAAAGTTAACTTATACCGCATTACTCAACACTAAACCATACGTTAATAAGAGATAAACTTCACTGTGTCAGTTATCAGAAAAAAGTCAACTATCTCAGTAATTTTCCTCATGCTCAACCTGTTCTGGGAAATGCTCGCCTTGTATCGCCATTGACGTCAACACTAACTCCCGTACTCTAAAGTGTGATAACTTCATTGAGAGTCACACTACCACATACTTATAATTTCTATACAACTACACAGAAATAAAAAGCGGTAGGGATGTCTTTTTTATCCATAATTCACTGTATTTCAATGTAAGGTTAGGTTAGGTTTGATTTGATACGATAAATTAGTGAGTTCCAGGGACGTTCACATTTTGAGTAAGGATTTAGTTGGAGTAAGCTGTTGTCCACACCTGTTACCTAGATAAGCCTCGAGTCGTAGAACGCTCTTAATTGTGGTGTCCAGCGAGCACTGACAACTGATCCTCCAGGTGATCTACAAATACAGGCTCGGGGACGGGCTGTCCTATCAGTGTGGCATCGTAGTCTCTTTAGTGTTGTGTGACCATTTGAGCTTAACTTCTCATACCCAGCCACTGGGCTTGTGAAACTGGAGAAGAGTGTAATTATCTAGTTAACAAGTGCTAGTAACGGTCTATAATACTGTACGTGTGATATATTACTGGCACATTGGTTGCCAGAACTATAAGAAGAGCTTGAAGGTTAGTACATACAGGTGTACAGGTATTACCAGATGTGAACATTCGCGGTGTATATTAATATAACCTTTTCCTTTTCTATTTTTAATTTCTTTCCATTCTTATTTTTTCGCCCCCCCACCCCCGTAAAAAAATAAAAAATAAATTAATTAACATACGTCGCACCAGGTAAGCCTTAACCCTTTCACCGCCTGTCACGCACTTCCCGTCAGACGATTATATTCAGCTTAGGGTAACCTCCCACTGTGAATGGCTTAAGAAAAAACTGACGGTTTTTCCAAAGTGGAGCATTTTTTTTTATTGATATAACTTAATGGAAATTAATTCGTGTATGGTAGCATTTCCTGTTTTTATAAAGCGTTAATTGTTATCATCATAAGAAAACCAAATTACACCTACAGTGGATTATGTTAGGTTAGGTAAATTAACGGCAGGTTTCCTCTGGTGAGGTTGAGAATTAGTAAAACTACAACCTCAGTTATTGGTGTATTATATAGCAGCTGTAGAGGACCTGGAGGAATGTGTTGACAGACTGTGTTGAGGGCGAGGATGGAGGCCACTGGGAGGTAATAACGGTATAGGAGGCCAGGCATAGGAAGTCAGTAAATACCACTGGGCGCTAAAAGAAGTCAGGTGGAGCCCAATGGACGATAAGAAGAACGAAAACACCAGTGACAGGTAGAAAAAATTAGATAGGAGGTGGATAATGGATCATAAAGACGACGAGGTAGAGGCCAAGAAGCATTAGAAAAGACCAGGGAGAGGCCACTGGGAGGTATGATGCAGCGAGGTAGGTGTGGTGGAGGAGTACCGTAATATTAATCTCAGAGTCCTTGGCTATGAAGGAGACTAGCGGGACTTTCTGCCTGTACCGTGTAATCGTCCACTCCCAGGGTAAGAACCGTGTAATCGTCCACTCCCAGGGTAAGAACCGTGTAATCGTCCACTCCCAGGGTAAGAACCGTGTAATCGTCCACTACCAGGGTAAGAACCGTGTAATCGTCCACTCCCAGGGTAAGAACCGTGTGATCGTCCACTCCCAGGGTAAGAACCGTGTAATCGTCCACTCCCAGGGTAAGAATCGTGTAATTGTCCACCCCAGGGTAAGAACCGTGTAATCGTCCACCCCAGGTGTAATCGTCCACTCCCAGGTAAGAACCGTGTAATCGTCCACTCCCAGGGTAAGAACCGTAATCGTCCACTCCCAGGGTAAGAACCGTAATCGTCCACTCCCCAGGGTAAGAACCGTGTAATCGTCCACTCCCCCATCGGGTAAGAACCGTGTAATCGTCCACCCCAGGGTAAGAACCGTAATCGTCCACTCCCAGGTAAGAACCGTGTAATCGTCCACCCCAGGGTAAGAATCGTGTAATTGTCCACCCCAGGGTAAGAACCGTGTAATCGTCCACCCCAGGGTAAGAATCGTGTAATTGTCCACCCCAGGGTAAGAACCGTAATCGTCCAAGGGTAAGAACCGTCCACTCCCCAGGGTAAGAACCGTGTAATCGTCCACTCCCAGGGTAAGAACCGTGTAATCGTCCACTCCCAGGGTAAGAACCGTGTAATCGTCCACTCCCAGGGTAAGAACCGTGTAATCGTCCACTCCCAGGGTAAGAACCGTGTAATCGTCCACTCCCAGGGTAAGAAACAGATCAAAACACTTTCCTTGTGTGTGTGTGTGTGTGTGTGTGTGTGTGTGTGTTCCTCCTCTATCCAGGTCTGAGGTTTGGCGACTACGGCCCACCACTTTGTATATGTTTGGGTTAACGACTTTTACTTTCCTTTATCTACCCTGTCTCTGCCTCCTCCTAGCCCTCCTATCCTCACCACTATCCCTCCTTCTCTTCACACATACACACAATATTATTTGACTACATCATAACACATCTACATTAAAATTCTTAACGGAGAAAAACTGATCCATGTCACTAACCTAACCTAACCTAACCTAACCTAACCTAACCTAACCTAAGGTATATGCATGTATGTAACGTGTATGTTGTGATAAATAAACTAGGCAGAGAAAAAGTCACACGAACAAGAAACAAATCTATTGGCAATGACTCTTTGTGTAAATATAATCACTGTACTGTTGTGTACCTCTCACTGTACCACTGTACCGTTGTATACCTCTCACTGTAGCACTGTATATCTCTCACTGTATCACTATACCGTTGTATACCTCTCACTGTACCGTTCAACCACCGAACAGTTACAGTTGGCTTCACACGTTAAACAAGCAGCTCTGTCTCTCTACCACAGGCGCCGTCGTTAGTTAAACTAGAGAGCGTGTCGTTAGACCTTGAGTGACCCTCTTAAACAGGTGCGGTTATTATGGTTGTTAAGCGTCCCAAAAATCAGAGGTCCTTAATTTGTGTGTCAGTCGTCATTAAATTATCGTAAGTCACTATTAATAATATAGTAATAGTAGTAGTAGTAGTAGTAGTAGTAGTAGTAGTAGCAGTAGGAACGAGAGCTTCTGCCCCAACTCCGACAACAGTTGCAGATATTGACTATGAGGCAACAGTCACTGATGCCGCATAGATCTGCGGCTCAACTAACTCAACACAGATAGGATAGTTGCTTATGTATTAGGATATTTAATATTAAGGTAATTAAATGGTGGCGAAGGTGTGGCTATTGGGGGAGGCTGGAGGCCACGTTAAAAAAAAGTAGTAGTTGTGGTAGTAGTAGTAGTAGTAGTTGATGCAGTTATTATTATTATTATTATTATTATTATTATTATTATCCATCACCAGGCTCGTCACCTCCGCCATGGCTGACAACGACAATGGAATCGCCAACCGAGGTTACCAACCAGATAATGACGAAGGTTAGTATTGATACATCTCTCTCTCTCTCTCTCTCTCTCTCTCTCTCTCTCTCTCTCTCTCTGTGTTTATCATTACATAAGCATTTTAACACCTGGGATGAAATTTATACAGATGTCAGGTGGCACCAGTTGATTTTTGATGATATTATGGGTTGTATCCGGGACTGAAGAACGACGGAGAGAGAGAGAGAGAGAGAGAGAGAGAGAGAGAGAGAGAGAGTCTACAAGTAGGTAATGATGATAAGAGGCTTCAACATGAGTCTCGAATTTTCCTAGGTTAACATCCCCCGTAACGAGAGAGTTAGTACATCAGCTTAAGGTCGAGAATAACACTAACACTGATATTCTAACCTTCTTAACACCAATTAGGAGACGCAATTAACTTATCACTAACAACCAAAATGACGTCACAAGTATACTGCATGAGCTCAACATCAGTTAGGGAACAGATGTGTGAGCCAGGACCAATACTGACTGACATCTTCCCGGGTAGAATTTTCCTAGAGACTTCAATGGCTCTGAGTGTTTCATGTTTACCAGGAATTGTGTGATACGTTTCGCTAGCGACATATTTCCAAGTCTTGAAACGTTATGAGAATTCTTCGACAGGAAATTGTGGGACGTGTGAGGTCGGTAGTCGGGGTGGATCGGAGTCGGGGGAGTCGGGGAATGGTCTCAGGGGGCATCCCGTGAGTGAGTGTCATGAGGTAGAGATCTGAAGGTCGCGCGTGGGCCGCCAGGTGACTCGTGTTGTTTATATTTGAAATTATTATTCCCTGACTAACAAGGTTGACTATGTTTACAAATATACGTTTGAGAGGATGATTTTTTACTGTAACCACCGGAACGTCAATCTTTATTTTTTTAGGTATTCTTAATATAAAGGGTAACTTAGACATGTGTAAATTCTATCTTTGAGGTGACGGGTGGTTTAGTAGTAAGGATACTCGTCTCGTAAGCAGGAGATTTAAGTTCGATCCTCGTGCAAGGCGAAACTTTAAGCAAGTTCCTTTGGGAATATTGCTTCTCTCTTCCTAGAAATAAATAGTTCGTGTTTCAGTGTAATGGTTATGTAACTCTGGATGTACCTGTTGTGTTAGTGTGTGTCCGTCCACCGTCACGTAGTCACCCGTTTCTGTTCACACTGAAACATGGGATTTTGTCCAGTGGCTAACAATAGAGCATTTGATTTAAAGTGTTAGTAATGCAAATAGAATCAGACTGAGAACTCGCATGACAGGAGTGATGCTTAGTGGGGGAGGGGCGGAGTTTGAGAGGGAGTTAGGGGAGACGACGGAGGGAGAGGTGGGGTTGAGGGGTGTGGTGGAAGTGACACAGGCCGCTCTAACTACCAAACAGGCGTTGGGAGGAGAAACTAACGGTGATGGTAAAGAGAAAAGGAAGGATTACATCGGGGAAAGAGGAAAGAAGGAGCAATGGGACAGGATTTATCATAGAAAGTTTAAAACAAGTCACATTTACTTTAATTGGATCGCTTATGCTCCGTCAGTACTGTAATTAATTTAGTTCAAAATGAAAATATGTTTCAAATTTCAATACCTATATAATAACAACCTTAACCTAACCTAATTTAACCTTAACCTAACCTTAACCTAACCTTAACCTAACCTTAACCTAACCTTAACCTAACCTTAACCTAACTTAACACATAAACACCAAAGTTATGTATATACAAAGGCAGATAACGTAGCTTTCTCAAGTGTCAATATCCTCTAGGGTCAAAAGTGTAGGTGCGAGTTGACACTACCTTAAAAGACGCTCATACTAGACTTACCCCTCAAAAGAATATGACTCCCAATATTATCCTCTGATGTCGATACTACCCAGCCTGGTGTAGAGAGAGGAAAAGAAAAATGAGAAACAGAGAAAGAGAAAGGAGGAGATAGAGAAAGAGATAGAGAGATACAGGGGTAATGAGAGAGAAACAGAAAGTGATGGACGGAGAGGAGAATAGAGGAAATAGAGAAATATAAAAAGAGTGACGAAGACAAGAAAAAGAGGGAATGAAAAATTGAGAGAGAAAAAGGCAGAGAGATTGAGAGGGAGAGTTTAGTTTAACAAATTTATTGGCAGAGCTTGTAGTACAGCTCGCCTATTGTGAGTAATTCAGTCAGGTCTTGACACTGAGGGTGGTATCACTTCTCACTGCCACACAGGACAGAGGTTCATACACAAAGAAATACGTCACATTCACCAGCAGCATATATGGGTCAGTGGATCACATACATTGGAGTCATATTCTAATTGAAGACTAATCAGTGTGGGCTAGCAGCAAATTTGGGATAAACAGCAAGAATGTCCTCAAGCACACCTGATTCAATGAAGTAATTACATAGTTCAAGATACAATAAGTCAGGTGGCCTGAAGTCTTTGACAGTGTCACATTCAATAATATAGTGTTCAAGTGTATGCTTTAAAGGTTTATCACAAAGTTTACAAGCTGAGTGTTCCGGTAGAGAGAGAGAGAGAGAGAGAGAGAGAGAGAGAGAGAGAGAGAGAGAGACGGGGCTGGGCTAAGCTGAGAAGCATACAGTACACACCTATATATTGTACTGGATTAACACCTGATGATATAAACAAAGAAATGAAATATATTCCCTGTGTGTTGACTGTACCTTAAAAGCGGTATAGAGTAACCAACGTATAAATACTCTATATCAAGCTAAGCCTTTTATAGATATAGTAATCTCCATGCAGTTAAACGTGGCCACAAAACCGATGCTAGTCTCTCTCTCTCTCTCTCTCTCTCTCTCTCTCTCTCTCTCTCTCCATTGTATAGTACTTGACCTATGCATAACTTACAAGCAGAGGAGAAGTGGCCTAAACAAACCTCGGCAGAAAGGTGTAAATCACATAAAATCATTCCAGGGCCACAGGTGTCGGTCATAACTCACACAGGACAACAGGCTCTTTATTTACTCCCTTGATGATCTCATGGTATAATTAACAGCACCCGGATATATCTTATAATTAACAGCACCCGGATATAACTCCCTTGAATGTAATTTAGACTAAAGATCAAAACACACAAGTGACGCAACTGGCCAGGATTTTTATACACTTGAAAAATCTGATTTCATAATCGGTCAAGATTACCAGATCCGCTGTAATACCTGAGACTTGGGCTGCATATAGATAAGAGGGCCGAGTTTATTACCTCTTGTGATAGTGACAAGACTCTGGGAACTGTCGAATACTTACTGTAAGGTTACTCGAACAACTATCAATACAATACTATCTTGAAAAAATATGACATAAGGGGCCAATGATTCTGACAACCCTACCGAGACAACAGGAGTCACAGTGTTCATTCTGAAATTCATAGATCACCCCGAGTACAGTTTGCTGTTTGGAGTGACTGTATAATTCCTTTTAAGTGAAGCTTTTCATATCATAAGCTGTTCCTCTCATTATTATTATTATTATTATTATTATTATTATTATTATTATTATTATTTTTATTATTATTATTATTATTGTTGTTGTTGTTGTTGTTACGGTTTTTTCTTGCACATAAATCTTTAAACATGTTCAGTTCTCATTCTTGTTCACAACACATCTTATCAGTGACAGGGAAACTGCTATCAGTGTAACATAAGGAGGAGTGTTGACACTGCCTGGGTCACCTGGTGGTAATTCCAAGAACCACATCTTCAACACAGCTCCCGGACCCAATGCCCAGCTTAACTTAACCTAACCTAATTGACCTTAAATTTGACTAATGTACCATAAATTAGCTCTATCACTAATGCAATCTAATATATTCCTAACCAAATCTAACTTAACCTAACCAAACCTGACTAACCCCTAAGCTCACACAGCTAAACCAAACCTAACCTAACCAGCATCCAACAGAACCTGCTTTAAGTTCAACCTAAAATAGCTAACCCTTCAACTAACTTAATCATTCCTTAATCTGACATAACCTAACCTAACTTAATCAACCCTTCGCCTAACTTAACTATAACCCAATCTTACCCAGGGATTTAGTATGAAAGTTTGAGCACGGTTAGGAGTGCAGGTCGTCCTCGGGGGGAATAAAGAGGTCAAGTTTATGGCATATGGAGAACCAGATGTTGGTCTCAGGCGGTTTTTGAGATTTGTAACTCACGTCTCGGGTATAACTGTGTAGCCGAGTCCACAGTCATAAGGTTTCTATTGATAATTCTGTACCCAAACTGGTGTGAAATGGACGGGATTCTTGAAAAATTGACTCTTGGGTAAGTTTTGTCTTCTAACTAGTACCAAGCGAACGTGTGTAGTTAAGGCAACGTGTCAGTGTAATTTCCATGAATGATTTTTGACTAACTTTAAGCCAACCAGTTAAGTATATTTTCTTTAGCTACGAGGAACGTTCAACTTGCGATAGTTTGAAAATCTGTGCCAAGGGCTTCTAACTAGAGACGGAGAGAGAGAGAGAGAGAGAGAGAGAGAGAGAGAGAGAGAGAGAGAGAGAGAGATAGACTTGCTGTGCACTGTCAGAAAGCTCATCTCTAAACAACAACAGCTCTGGGAATATATCATTTACCATGTAATATATACGTACATATTGCTTACGGATAACAACCAGACTTAATCACAAGCCTTTAGTCACGCCACCTAACCGGGGCGTAGTCTCAGCACAGGCCACACGTCTCGTACTTAAAAGCGAAGGATTGACGGTGTGGAAACTCGAACAGCTGGTGGTAATAAACAAAGACCTCCTGCTTGTAACTCTCTAGAACCAATTACCAGAGGTCTTATTTTTTACACCAAGTATTTGACTGCTCCTGCACACACACCCAAAGAGCATAGAGAATAAAGAAGCTATAGACAAGATGAGAGAACAACATCAATAGAATCTACCAGACAGTTTACATCTCTATACAGTCAACAACCAGTCATATAACTACATCACCAATGGTCCCAAATAGGAGTTCGTATCTACAAATATCATTAGTCTTGTTCAGTGGGAAATTCGACCCTAAAGTGCTGACAACTACTCCCCAGTATCATTCACTAAACAAACACTGTTTACAAGTCTCAACATAATAAGAATATAATTGCAAAGTTCCGCCAATTAAGAAACGTCATCCAAGGTCTATTCTATTCCCATAAGAACAAAAGACCATAAGAAAATAAGGAGTCTGCAATAGACCGGTTGGCCTGTACATGGCAGCTCCTGTCGAGAGTTACTACCACTCTCTATCATCCATGTATCTATCTAGCCTCCTTTTGAAACTTTCCAGAGTTCCCGCACTTACTACAAAGTTGCTAAGCTTGTTCCACTCGTCCACCACCCTATTTGTGAACCAGTTTCTTCCTATCTCCCTCCTAAACCTAAACTTATCCAACTTAAATCCGTTGCTCCGAGTCCTATCCTGCTCGGATATTATAAGAACTTTATCTATATCCCCTTTATTGATTCCTTTCACCCGCTTAAATACTTCTATCATATCTCGGTAATGATCACTTTGTTTCGACTCAACAAAAAACAGCTGAACATACCATGGTGCACTGTTGTCATACTGTTTCGTCGTTTATGATAAGGATATAGTTTTTCCCTTCATTATCAGTGTGAGTCATGGGAGGCTAAATGATCGTATATTGGCTTACATAATGAAGAAATTAGATCTAAAAATCTTGTGGTAGCCATGGTTGAAGTTGAGGTGCCAATTCAGTAATGTAATTTCTTCATTACTTAGCCAATATACAAACATTCCATGACCATAAATATACCTTCTACCTTTGTTTGATTTTTTATTTATCCTGACAATGATACAGTCTGAAATAGATCCACTCTCTACCACATACAGCCTTACTTTACCAGGTGTTGCCAGGTAAACTTATGAGTACAAGAGCCAGGGTGAGGGTCGATTCATCTTTAGCTGACTGACTGTACATACCTCACGCAGATTAGGTAATGACAGGTATAATCTCTACTTGAAATTATGTTGCGGCTACACCTACCATCACTACAGTACACCCATCATCACCACACCCGTACCATCACTACAGTACACCCATCATCACCACACCCGTACCATCACTACACCATCATCACCACACCCATACCATCACTACACCCATCACCACACCCATACCATCACTACACCCATTTTCTCAACATCACTCACTTCACCCTTCGCTACATACATAATAATGAAGGTCGATCTTAGAGTGAATGACAGGCCACCCTCAGCAGCCCGGCCCCGACACCCAGCGATGGAGCCTTTGGTCAACACACTCCTGCCTGCGTCATAACTCTTGTTTGTTGACTGTTCATTATACTGGCAGCTTTACATCCACTCACCTCTTGTTTCCATATCACCATGATTATAAAGGATCCGGAATCAATCTCTCTCTCTCTCTCTCTCTCTCTCTCTCTCTCTCTCTCTCTCTTTCTCTCTCTCTCTCTCTCTCTCTCTTTCTCTCTCTCTCTTTCTCTCTTTCTCTCTCTCTTTCTGCATATTTGTCTGTACGTTTCCGCTGTGAGAAAAAGTCACAATTAACAATGAGTGGAAAGATTTTTGTTGTTTGTTGTTTTTAGGATTGAGGTCATTTAAAGTAATGATCTAGTGGAGGTTTAATAAGGTAGTAACAATACTCTGTGATGGTGAGATATAAAGTATTGTACAGTGTGAAGACCTGAGAGTATTGTTATGTAAGAGAATTAATCATATTCTGGATTTTTTGGTTGCTTATAAATGCTAACATTACGAAAATCACTGAGCAAATACTCACGTTTTATAACTTTTTTTTACGATATAGTGAACGCAGTAAGGATTAGGTTGTCTCTTTGTAACTGTTAATTTATCGAACATTACATATTATTAAGTGAATCACAACCTCGTCAAAAACGTCCTGTGTTGTACTATCCCATGACTCCTGTTTGATACTGTTCTAGTCATATATTGTGGTTTGTGTCACTACCATAAAGTGTGGACAACTTCCAGAACTTATCACCCCAAGAGAAGAAGTGTGAGTGGACTAAAGCATATCACTGTACACGACCATCCAGCAGGAACCTGGTACTAGGATTCATGGACAATTGTTTTTTTCTCCCAAATGGCGTAGTTAGCCTTCAAGAAAGAGAAAATGGGCAGGACTCCAGAAGGGTTTAAAACAGGCCAACTAGTGACTCCCAATCTGGCCACCAGGGTCATATGGTTGTACGAATGTCTTGGTACAATTAGGTCGTAGGCAGCTACCAAACAGGGAGGTACTACCACCTGGGAAGATATTGGAAGCATAATGTGTTGTCTAATGGTAATCCCAGGTTGCTGATCTGACTTTATGCCTCTTTTACACACATTTGCAGGGTCTCAATTGTTTCTTTCCACTGTCAACACAACATACATATATTGTTTCTCACTCTTGATCTTTTTTTTCTTTTTGTATTTTTTAATAATAATAGCATTATTATTATTATTATTATTATTATTATTATTATTATTACTATTATTATTATTATTATTACTATTTTTATATTTTCGCTATCATCCTCAGAGCCAGTCAAAATTAAGAATGGAAGTCCTGTTGGTAAAGTCAAGCCTAGTGAGGGCTTTCGACAGCTCACGGAGGAGGAGAGGAAGGAAAAGTTCGCCATCATGAAGAACATCATCATTATCTCCGTGGCCTTCACCTTCCTCTTCACCAGCTACAACTCCATGGCCAACCTTCAGTCCTCCATCAACGAGTGAGTACACACTGTTATATTCTTGAAAGAAAAATAGCCCACAGTGTAAACCATCGATCTATTGACTACGCTACCCTCAGCTACCGTCCCAATTAAGATGATTGTCAGTTATCAAGTATTATGGTGGAACAACTCAGTTAGCAATCAGTTAACTAAGGCTGTCAAAAGTGAACTGATTTTAATCTTTACTTAAATTCTTTGATGAAACCAAATTTCCAACTTAAATCTGTGAGTTATCTTGTACACAGTAGTGCTTATATAAACTAACTGATGACTCGAGTTCTTTATTACTCAAAGTGGCTTGCTGTTATGAAGTGTTGTTATTTAATGTTGCTGTTGGGACACTTTGTATGTTATTATGAACATGTATGTGTGACTAGTCCTTCATAATGTAACTCTCAAATATTACTATGCACAATTTTCATCATTATTTCCTTCCTCTGAGAATTTTGGAACATTTGATTCACCTTAAAAGAAAGTGGCAAAGGTGATGTAAGAGAAGAAGAAAGAAAGAAAATGCGAAAGAGAATAAGTGACATGAAAACAGAGAAAGACAGAATAGGAGAGAAACTGAGAACAATAAAGAGATAAAATCAAAAAGAGAAATAAACAGAATATCAATTTATTCCAGAACTACGGGGACTACGGCCTTGTCCACACTGTATGGGGCTCTGGTAGTGTCGTGTTGTTTCCTGCCCTCCTGGTTCATCAAGACTCTCCGGACTAAATACACGATGGCTGTGTGTATGTTGGGTTACTCCACCTACATCGCCGCTCAGTTCTACCCGAAGATGTACACCCTTGTGCCCACAGCCATCATCCTGGGTCTGGGAGCAGCGCCCATGTGGTCCGCCAAGTGTACTTACCTCACCAAGGTAAGATTTACTTCTCAACAATTAATAGTTTTTTCTGTTTTCCTCGACACCTTCTCCCACGTTCTTGTAGGGTAACAAATGCCATGTTTACTCCAAAGCCTTAAAATGACTCACTGACTACCTTCAAAGTAAAGCCAAAGAACTAAAATGGTTAAACATAATGTTCTTGACCCTACTAACCCTGCAGGATATAAGAACATTAGAACATAAGAAAATAAGGAGTCTGCAATAGGCCGGTTGGCCTGTGCATGGCAGCTCCTGTCGAGAGTTACTACCACTCTCTATCATCCATGAATCTATCTAGCCACCTTTTAAAACTTTCCAGCGTTCCAGCACTTACTACAAAGTTGGTAAGCTTGTTCCACTCGTCCACCACCCTATTTGTGAACCAGTTTCTTCCTATCTCCCTCCTAAACCTAAACTTATCCAACTTAAATCCTTTCACCCACTTAAATACTTCTATCATATCTCCCCGCACTCTTCGTCTTTCTAGGGAATGCAAGTTTAGTTTCTTTAATCTATCTTAATATGGAAGGTTTCTAAGTCCCGGAAGCATTTTCGTTATTCTTCGCTGCACCGACTCTATAATAGGGGCACCAGAACTAAACAGCATAATCGAGGTGCGGCCTGATAAGCGCAAGATATAATTGCAATATGACCTCGGCACGCTTATTACTTACGCTTTTTGATATAAAACCTAATACTCTGTTTGTCTTAATTCGAACATTAACGCACTGTTTTCTAGGCCGAAGGTCCGGGCTTACAAGTAGGCCTAAGTCTCTTTCACAAGTCGACTTCTCTAGGTTGTTCTTCCAATATTAAGTACGCTGCACTTGCTGGTGTTGAATATTATTTGCCATTTTCCTGACCACTCCTGCAGTTTATTTAAATCCTCCTGTAGTGCATTTGCATCCTGCCCTGAATTAATCTGCCGCCCTATTTTGGTGTCATCCACAAACTTGCTGTCACTGCTGATCCCAGTATCTAGATCGTTTATGTAGATTATGAACAAGAGTGGGCCGAGTACTGACCCCTGGGGAACCCCACAGGTTACACAGCCCCACTCAGATTTAACACCATCTACGCTTGTAATTGCCCCCTGTCTCAACAGAACATATTATATAAATGGGTTCATACATCTGATATTATATTCAGATTCACCACCCTGCAACATTCCACTGTCTATGTGTGAGACATGAGTTGAACACGTGAACGGTAGCTTTCCCAAGAGGGAGAAGCCCATATGTCACTGTCAGCATCTATGTATGCATCTATTAACCGACGGATTCTCGCTGACCCTCTGCGTTCTATCGGTGAGCCATGATTTTATCCAATTTATAACTTTCCCCTCGATACCATGAGCCTTAACTTTTCTCAGAAGCCTCTGATGCGGTACTCTGTCAAATGCTTTGCTAACGTCTAAGTAAATAACATAGTAATTTTCGTCATTATCTACTACCTCGAAGACTTTCCTAAAAAACGTTAGCAGATTTGTTAGACAAGATTTTCCTTTTGTAAACCCATGTTGAGAGTCGTAGATCAATTTTCTTTTCTCTAGATGCGATCGGATGCTATCTGCTATAATTGATTCAAGAAATTTCCCCACTACTGACATCAAACTAATGTGCCGGTAATTTGACGCTGATGCTCTGTCTCCCTTTTCGAATATGGGTACTACATTTGCCTGTTTCCACAAGTCTGGCACAACTTGGAAACCCAAAACGTTATCACGTAAGCTATGGAGCCCCTGATATGACTGAACTCCATCATTCATACATTGTGTGGTGGTCAACTATGAAGGACACTGCCTCTTCATCCCTTACAAAAGATGTACTACCTAACCCTGTGTATTAATACGTCTGGTCCTTAGCCATCCTTGTCCCCGCCGTCCAGGGAAGAGGATTTAAAAATACATGTTATCCGTCCGCCTGCCAGCCCATTCAAGAGTTATGAAGACGATAACAAAAACAACGAACAATGACCTCTAGCTAAACAGGACATAGAATTGATAACAGTATAGCGAGTCATTGGTGTTATGGTCCCGTTGAACTAGTGGTGGTGTGAAGGGGAATAATCGGTCACTTACATCACATATTAGTAATGGCCTCTTGAACTTTATTATGGTGTAGGGAAGAATTTATTTACCTTCACTGGCAACATTTACTTTTAATTTTCCTATTATAAAGACAATCGTTTATGAGAGGGTAGAGGAAGAGGAACTAAAAGGTGAAGTTCAGCTCTTAATGCCTCACTCCTTCCTCCCCCAGGTGGGTGCCAGGTACGCCGAGATTATAGGAGACAACACTGAGGTGGTCATAACTCGCTTCTTCGGCATCTTCTTCCTGTTCTTCCAGTCAACACAGGTGTGGGGCAACCTTATCTCCTCCTCAGGTGAGTCACAGGTGTGGGGCAACCTTATCTCCTCCTCAGGTGAGTCACAGACAACCTTATCTCCTCCTCAGGTGAGTCACAGACAACCTTATCTCCTCCTCAGGTGAGTCACAGACAACCTTATCTCCTCCTCAGGTGAGTCACAGACAACCTCATGATTGGAGATACTATCCTCCTTAAGGTACACAAAGAAGCTTCCCTTATGTTTATTTAATGCTCCTCGGCTGACCTTGGTATTAGTTACATCTGGGTGACTCCTGACCACAGTATATGTCACATAGTGAGCTCCTACCTGTATGACTGCTGACACATAACCTTCTATACCCCTAAGTTTCTACCTGTATATGACCACAGACCTTACAATACCTCCTGTGTGACTCAAATTACCCATATAGTCATTCTTGCCTAGAGAGACCTACCCGTACCACCCCTTGACCTATTCCCACAGTATTGGACGACCTGGTGCAGTGTAAGTTACAATTTGTGCTCAACCCTTATGTTACCTTGACCCTTCGAGTGTATATCATGACTCCTGACTGTCAAAAGTATACATAGTAATATCACCTCATGAGCCTCTTCCCATAAGACTGTTTGTAAGGACGGACAAACCTCATACAACCTCTACCCCTGGGACCACCTCAACCCCATAATATCCACCTGTAACTCTCTAATTCTCACCTGTATGACCCCTTCCCCCCATGTTCCTCTTCCCACAGTGTTATCAGTGGGCGTGGATACCGAGGATAAAACCCCGGAGGAGCTAGAACGTTGTGGGTATAACTTCTGCCCGTGGGATTCTCCGTCTAACTCCACCAATGACACTACTGATGGTATCCCTGAGTGGCAGACGTACACCATGGCATCGATCTACCTCGTGTTCGCCCTTCTCTCCTCTGTTATCATCGTCCTTTTCGTCGACCCACTCAGCAAGTAAGAACTCAGTAAGCAGGTAGATTCAGCGGATAGGATCACTCAGTAGACAGAACCATTTACTATACGGAGCTTCACAATAGACAGTCGTAAGGTCCGTTTATTAGACAGAACTTTCAATTGTTACCCGTTAGTCACATTAGATGGATCACTCGAAACCTGCGCCATTCAGTAGACAGGACCATTCAGTAGACAGGACCATTCAGTAGACAGGAGCAACTAACAGGTAAGATCAGTCAGCAGTAACACAATTCAGCAAGTATGAAGTTACAGGTTGCTAAATGTCACGTCTCTAGGTTTCTGGTCTCTAGGTTTCAGGTAATCGCCTTGGAGCTTTGACACTGACTGACATACTGATAAACTGGCTATCTTTATTACTACTCAAAATGAATCACGTATCTTAGATCATACACTTTACGGTTCAGGTGAAGAGATGTACTCAATCAAAGGTAAGGTTGTGTAAGAGGGATGCGATTAGCTACACTATATCTGTTGGGTGATGTGAATTAATTCGTTCATCTAAGATAATCTCTCTCTCTCTCTCTCTCTCTCTGTCTCTCTCTCTCTCTCTCTCTCTCTTACAGAAATCCTAAATATCTTCCGCTACATACAACCTTCAGCACAAGAACCCATTAATACTAAATAAACTAAAACGTAACATTCATTAGGCTTAGAAACCATGTCATATATCACCCAACTATCTTCAGAGACCCCAAAACACGTCAGTGACAATAGAGACCCGTTTCTCACCTTATTTAGAAACCCCAAAGAATCCTTATAAAAGTATCTTTCAACGTCTATAGAAAACCTGAAGAAATTTGTTTATCAACTGGCCTCTTCAATGAAAACTATAAACACAAAAATTCACAAGTTTCTCCCGTCCTGTAATAACACACAAAAATACTCTACCCACTTTTGAAACGAAGATATAGTTTAACTGATTAGAGACCCAGAAACCCTTATGTATACTTCATTCATCTTAGAAACCCTATTTACTTCATTCATCTTAGAAACCCTATTTACTTCATAGACATTAAAAACTCTCTCATCACCTTCCTTAGAAACAATATTCAACCTCAGAAAACAATTCTTAACATTGATAAACTTCCAGCACACGTTTTTTAAGTTTTACGAGTGAGTTAGGTTGAGTTATTTGACAGATATGTTAAATACACAAGTCCCGAAAGTAATTAACCTGACTTAGAGACCCTTAGACACTTTAGAAACCTTTCCCTCACACTAAAAAATTTCGGAACAGGTTCGTGGGTGATGATAAGTATGACGCGACGGAGGGCAAGACAGGTTTGCAGCTACTAGTGGCTTCCTTCAACCACATGCGTCACCCTTACCAGCTGCTGATCATCCCCCTCACCATCTGGTCTGGCGTGGAACAAGCCTTTCTGGGCGCTGACTACACTGCTGTGAGTATACTGAGAGACACAGAAAGATAAAGTGAATCAGAGGAGACGAAAAGAGGTAGAGAGATATATGGTACTAATTCTTGTTCTTCACATTGCCATCTTTGTGGGTGGTGACTATAACACCTTGAGTGTACCTAAGTGCGCACACACACACACACACACACACACACACACACACACACACACACACACACACACACACACACGTCTCAACTCGCATTAAATCAAGACGTCTCTTTGGCGCCTCCTGTGGGCCGCCCTGACTAGCCTGTTGGCCCCTCTTCTCCTCCTCCCCTTCCCTCATCTGCCTCCCTGCACCGAGATTTATCAGCTAAACAATTTTAAGTGACAAGTGCAAAGACTGGTTATCAAATTGTGATCCAACCACGATTCACAACTACAATCACCAGTGAGCAGTGTACTACTAACTCATGGAAAATTTGTCATTGATCCACAAAGTGCGATCGAGACAAAGGACGCCCCAGACAGCCACTACCTTACCACTAGACAAATATTGACAGATGGCCACCAGGGAAGTACTCCAGGCGAACCTTGTTCAGTTTACAGCGAAGGACTGAATATCCTAACAGTAGTGTTATCGTGCTCTTAAAATCACTGAACATATTTCATGCTCGCAATCGTAGACAAGGATGTCATATACAGAAGCCACCAGGACCATCACCTTCAGGAGGAAGCCAAAGAAACCTTCTCCTGAAGACTGTACCCAAATTCTGAAGCTCCCCGAATATGATACCGCCCCCCTTACTGCTCTCGAGCGTCACCTCCCTCGCCAACAAATTTTATGAACTAGTCAATATTGCCAACGTCGTTGCTATTTATGGAGCGTGACAAATTGTTCCTAAAATTTGCCACGTTGAAGGAAATCAACACTTTTACCACCTTCATACAAATGGATGTGGTAGGAGCGTTGACCTCTTCTATCAGGATGACCTACATCCGTCACGCCTGGATGTTATAGTCCCAGCTGATGTGAATGTATTATGGGTACATGTACCACGCGCTCACCCACATCGTACTGCCTCTATAATATACTGTGCTGTACTATATACCATCTGCCTTGCTCACCCACCAGAGACACTCTATCAATTACATCCCCACCACCTCAAACTACCTCGGAATCTGATACCCGTGTGCCAAGTTATTGCTCTGGGGGATATCAACGAAATTGACACCACTGATTTCGAGGACCAGTTGCTACTATTACAAGCTGTGAACTTCCTACTCAAGGTTAAAACACCCTTGACCTTATTATAAATGACTTAGCGGACCAGTACCAACCACCTCAACCAATGCCCCCTGTCTGGTGTAGCACACACACCTATCAATGTTTAGATCTCCTGCTCCCACTACCAGCCACGTGCACAGACCGTACGTCAAGACCTACAGGCCGGTTACTGACTCCGCAACACGTCTCATTGGCCAGAGGATGGTTCAGTATCCCTGGACTGAAATATTAAGTGTGTATGACGTAGGCATCAAACTGACACATTACATTACACCAACACCACGGAAGTTCACCACCACTTGTTCCCTGAGAAGTCCGTCAGATTACACCCAGCTGACTTGCCCTGGGTCACACCTCGGATCAAAATACTTGTGCAGGAGATAAACACGGCCTTTGATCTCAACGACAACAACTGCTGATGATCACCATGACCTCATCTGCAAGTTTATGGAGAAGCTTCTGCACCATCCTCGACACCGTCTCCTGCTTCCACCCGAGTTCCCTCGTCTGCGAATTGCTGTTGGATACTACAACCGCATCCAGCCCATACGAGCACGAACTGATACCAAAAGAACAGCCCAGTCCCAACCGTTATCAACAACTCAAAGTTAACCAGTGTGTTCAGTCCTTGTCAATTTGACTTTTGTCTTGTTACTATGTTGAAATCCTTTGTTAAATGACGCTCTCCTTCCCCTTCTGGCATTATATGTAAATTTCATCATCACTACTAATATTATTATTATTATTATTATTATTATTATTATTATTACTCACACACATAAATAAATACATATGCAGTAATATATGCAAACACATACACACAAACATACACACATACAACGACACAAAACACATGCGACACAAAACACATGCACACAAACACACACACAAACATACACACATACAACGACACAAAACACATGCACACAAACACATGCACATAAAAAATAGCATTCTAAATTTTGTGACTTGTTTCTCCCGGTTCCCTCTCACAGGCTTACGTGTCGTGTGGGCTGGGTGTACACATGGTCGGGTACGTTATGATCTGTTACGGTGTGTGTGACGCCATCTGCTCCGTCACCTTCAGCCCACTGGTGAGGATCGTGGGTCGTGTGCCCATCTTCACCATGGGTTTCCTCATCAACTTGAGTATTATCATCACTCTCATCTACTGGATGCCCAAGCCTGATGATATCGTCGTCTTCTTTATCCTCTCGGGTCTGTGGGGAGTGTCGGACGCTGTGTGGCAGACGCAGATCAACGGTAATACTTTTATTACTACTATTATAACTCCGACTACTGACAAACATAATCACTGTACATATATAGATTTTAAACACATATTAGACCACAATGCAGTGTAAACCTAGAAGCCCTCCCACCCCCTCCCACACCTCCCACCCCCTCCCACCCCCTCCTACACCCTCCCACACATCCCATACCAAAGAAAAGAGGTTTCCGAGACCAAAATAGTGTACACTAGAGACTAACAGCAATATTTCCCTATATATTTTCAGCTCTGTACGGTGTGATCTTCCCCGGGGAGTCTGAAGCAGCGTTCAGCAACTACCGCCTGTGGGAGTCGCTCGGGTTCATCATCGCCTACGCCTGCAGCACCGTCTTCTGTATCCACTCTAAGATCACCATCCTCCTCGTCTTCCTCGTGCTGGGCATCGTCGGCTACTACGTTATTGAGGTCATCGAGAAGCTAGGAGGCCTCAAGAGGGACAAGGAAGGTGAAGTCATCACCCTTGATAAACTCGTCACGGGAAAGTACCAGTGACGAGTAGGAGGGAAATTTGTCGGGTTTTTAGATTTTTTTTACTGGAATCAACATAGATTTTCAACGACTAACTTCCTCCTATTTTCTGGTTTACTTTTCAACCGCCACAATTCATAAACGTTGATTGGTTGCTGGTTGTAAAGTTTTAACAAGTTTTGAAAATGTTTAGCATCTTTTGCAGTCGCTACAAGTTCTGGAATCTAACTGGTTGTGGTCCACTCTGTCATGTCATTTGTGTAGTAACAGAGCCTGCTGGGGCCAATTAGGATTTAGCCCAAATGAACAGTTACTAATGAGGTACAGCAACCCCTTTCTTGATTTCATAAATATTTTATCGCCATCGTCTGAACAGAACTTCCAAGTGTACTAAGGTTATCTAGTCAATGATCCCTTTTGATATTTTAGTGACCAATAATGAGTGAGATTAAACCAATAACAGTATATGTGTAGTTTCTTCATTAGCTTCCATTATTACACTGTAGCTACATTTCCGCACACACCCAGTCAAGAGATGTAGACACTCCTCCTGATCAATTCCTCCCTTGGAAGATCAGTCCGACTAGGTGATCAGTCCTACCCTACTGATGGTCTGCATAATCTTATTCTTGATCACAACATTTCCCAGCTGATTGTAAAGTAATCCATCTGGTTTTCTGCTGTGTGAGTCTTCAATATTTTCGCTACGGTTGAGTTCCTTCCATTGGCATAGTCACTCTTGCTTTGGGTATCAACTTCTCCTTCCCGTGAGCTGTGGAAGACCTGAGACGAGATTCTGAAGGCTAAAGATTCCTCTCCAGATTCTAGTGGAATATTTCCTCCGTCTCCTGCAACCTTCTGCTTTTCCGTCATGTCGAAGATATTATAGTCAGGTGTGTGGTGTGTGTGTGTGTGTGTGTGTGTGTGTGTGTGTGTGTGTGTGTGTGTGTGTGTGAGACGCCTGTTCTTGTCAACTTCAGATCAGGTAGTTCACTATCATAACAAAAATCCAGCGCCGTAAAGCTCAAGATTCATACACCAAGTACTGTATCTTCCTAAGTGATAACTACAGTACACATCTTGTTACGAGTCTTGGGGTCATTACGACGTCATATTTGTGTCATATCTTAGGCAGTTAGACAATATAATGTAAGAATAACACCCCTTAACTCTTTACACCCCAGACGGTCATTCTCATATCTCTGTGTTCATCTGTGGTACGTGTTTCTGTTACTACTGTATAATTTATCAGTAACAGAAAACTATTGTGAGTTGAATGTGCAAGTGTTTATCAGTGTAATTATAATGTACAACAGTATAATATGTAATATATAGATTGAACATAAGTTGTTTCTCTAATACAGAGGTTCCCAAACTGGGGAGCGTGAGGCTGGTACAGGGAAGGCGTGAAGCCATCAACCAAAATTTGCTATATTTTGCTAAAAAATAATATAATGAAGAAACTCTTTCAGGAGTAACTCTCCCTCCGTTTGAATCTACCACACATCCATGCAAAACCAAAGTATAGCAGTCACCCCTATCCGTTTTCTATCATTTCATCTCACACACTCTCCTTACGCGTCTTGTACATATCACTATACAGGGAGTTATCTGATCCTAAACAATACTAAAATATAATTATAATAAAAAATAAAATCTATGTAGATTTTACATACAAAAATATAAGGGGGGGGGGTGGGTGAGGTCCTCGCTAAAGCAAAGGAAGGCGTCATGTTAAAACGTTTGGGAGCCACTGTTCTAATGTGATCTATTGTGATTATATAGTTATTTTATTTTTTTGTGGATTAAGTAAGAAAGATGATTTTTGTACCGGATGGAGTGAATAAAGACACAATCTATGGACTTGTTTCAATATTCGAACTCTAAACACAATGCTCTCACCATTATCATTATCACCATTACCATCATTATCACTATCACCACCATCACCATTATCATCATCACTATAAACGCCTTGGTTAAGGACGTTCAGGTGACGGGCAAGTCGAAGGGAATGATTGAAACTCACCTTTTGACGCATCAATATTTATTGATGTGGTCAAAACCTGCAGAGAACAGTGCGTTCATTAGTATAGTGACATGACACTATAGTTACACTTCATTCCGCATTGTCTTATTGCTCCAGGTAAGGCAGAAACGAGTAGGCATAATTAGTCCACAATATTTCAGTACTGAGGGGTATGTCATCACTTTGGCTGTACTTACAAGTGCGGGTCAATGCAAACCAGTACGGTGTTCCAAGGGACAATACTGTGTAAATTGTTCCAGCACAAATTCTCGGCCAGGATTGGGAGTCGGTGTTCACCACAGAGGGCTGGTCCTCACAGCATCACTCGAGAGGGCGATCTGCATCATGGAGGGCAGGCGGCCACGCCACCCTCTAAACCATGCACTCAGCAGAATCAGGGCATCTTGTTTGGGCAGGTCTCGTGGGGGCGGCGGCGCACGTGGTCGCAGGCTGATAGATTTAATGTTTAATCGGGTAAGGCAACGCCAGCACTGTAGTTGAAGCCAGCGGCGATAACAATCGCCATCGCCACCATCACCATCATCAACGGTATAAAATCCACATGTTCACTAGGCTGACACCATCTTTGTTACACCTTCAGCACGCCACTGTCACTGTCGTCAGGAGGAGTCACTTTCCTTCGTCAGTACCAAAGGGATGTCATGTTCGTCAGTCAGTAAGTCAAATAGGGGTCATGTTCATCATAAGTCCAGTAGTGTTCATGTTCATCATAAGTCCAGTAGTGTTCATGTTCATCATAAGTCCAGTAGTGTTCATGTTCATCATAAGTCCAGTAGTGTTCATGTTCATCATAAGTCCAGTTGTTCTAGCCCCTATCAATCAGTATTATATAAATATGGGCTAAGGACATATATTCATTATATACATTCCATCACCCAGACTATTGAGCATAAAGCTACATAAGCATTTGTTCTGTCACACCTCCTAGGGTGGACAGCACACATAAACATTTGTAGTTTCACACAGATTCAGGTTACAACCCAGAAATATATGTCCCCAGGCCTCCGTGAGAGTAGGCCTGTGGAGTGTAGCCTCTTATCTGTGTTGACGTATAAATTACATACCCCCTTACAAGCAGACAGAGAGAGGTTCACCTAGTTCACAGTTTCACACAATTCACGGTTCACAGCCAGACACCGTACCAAAGAGACGTGTGTGAGCATAGCTCCCAAGGCTGTATCTCTCTCTAATTTTATCAGCTAATTACAAGCTAATAGCTAATGCTCAGTAGTCTGTCAACAAACAATTCTGTAACTACCAGAGCATCCAATATAACTAGAAAATCACCACGTGTGTTTACATTAAACCAAGGAACCACAAATGAAGATAACCGAACCTGTGTACACTTGTGTATACTTACAAGCTAAGATAATTACAAGTGTAACCCAGGTGGGCTTGGACGACTCAACGACTCAAAACTACGACTGTATCAAAGGTGACACGCCGTGAGACCACCTGTTATCTCACCCAGCTTCATCAAAGGCACCAGCGACTACTCTACACTCATTCAGGCAAGTGTTAACAAGTGAGATCGTTTGATATCAAACCCCGGCCAGCAGTGTTCATGTTCATCATAAGTCCAGCAGTGTTCATGTTCATCATAAGTCCAGCAGTGTTCATGTTCATCATAAGTCCAGCAGTGTTCATGTTCATCATAAGTCCAGCAGTGTTCATGTACATCTTCGAATGTGTTGCAGTCGATTTGTATGTAATTTCTGTCATTGCGTGAGTAGCCACCTCTGGCAACTCACGGGTATATAAACCCATGCGAGGCCGGAGACAGCCACTTTACTTCATTATCATCATCATCATCAGACTGCCTCAGCAGCACTCTCTAACCCTCTCTCACCATGAACGGTTACGAGTTTGATAACGTGGCGCGGATACGTCCGGATACACCGACCTGCCCCAAGAAATTAAACTTCCTAGTTCTCAAGAAGTTCTTTGAAACTAATGAGATCGTGGGGGTCACCAAGGTGGAATGACTGAAGCTCCATGATGACATCAAGATCACCTTCGCCGAGAAGGGTATGCCCGTACAGCCCACGTGGACCAAGCAGAGCTGAGTGAGCTCCTCAAGGGGCAACTCCAAGTTGTGAAGAAGCTGTCCGACACCACTGCCCTCATCGGACACCATACAACCTTACCCAAGGAGGCTCAACTGGCGTGGGTAACTGTGCCAGTCAAGCCTTACTGCAGACCGAAACGCTGTTACAAATGCCAGCACTACGGACACACTGTCAACAAGTGTGAGGCGCAGGAGGACACCTGCTCCCTGTGCGGCAGCCCCGGACACCGCCACACCGTCTGCCCCAACACAGTAAAAAAATGCGCTGCCTGTGGCGGCCCACATTCCTCCGCCGATCGGACCTGCCCCAAATGGAAGGAGGAATGCAGGATAGCCAAGGCTCGACTCGACAAGAAACTGAGCTACAAAGAGGCCCTCCTTGCTGTACACTCCCAAGACAAGAAAAAACCAGTAGAAAAGAATAACCAAGAAAAGAAAACTCAAGAAAAGACACCCGCCACACAGAACCAAGAACACCACGAGGCCCGTGGAGCTGAAGCCCACGTGGTCAACCTCACCGTCTCCGACGGGGAAGCACTTCAATCTTGAAGATCTGAACGACCTTAAAGACCTAACAATTTAGTTACCAGATTTACCTTCTTCTCGCAATGGCCAGAGAGCTTCAGCTCATTGCCAACATACACACCTAGGTCCTTCTCACATTCAGTCTCATACAGTGCAGTTATTCGTCCCGTTGGGACATATGATACGCCTCCTTACCGTTGGCACGCCCCAGGTGCATCCTCTTACACTTCGTGACAATGAATCTCAGCAGCCATATATTCGACCATTCTTGGAGCTCACAGAGATCCTTCTGCAGCTCTTCACAGTCCGCTTGGTTCTTGATTTCCCAAAATAACTTGGCGTCATCCGCAAACATTTTCATGGAGGAGTGTACAACGTCAGGATTATTATTTATGAAGCAAACAAACAACAGCGGGCCCAATCCGCTTCCCTGTGGTACCCCGCTTGTAACGAGTACACATGATGATTTCGTGCAATTAATCACCACAAACTGCTTGCGGTCATGTAGAAAGTCTTCTATCCACACTTGGACATTTCCCCGAATCCCGTACCATCCCAGTTTAAATTTTAGCCTTTCATGGGGTACAATGTCAAAAGCCTTGGCAAAATCTAGGTATATATTGAGTTTATGGATCCTGGTTGAGTGTCGCTATGGCGGGTGAAGTCCCCAAAGTCATTACATTGGATCATATAAATGATTCCTCCCCCAGCGAACACGGGCAACGAGTTTTTCCGGAAACCTCCTTTACTTTCACTCAGACTGATGCAGTCGTGTGGTGAGCAGCAGGACGGGAGGTGATGCAGGGCTGATGTTCCTCACTTTTACCTTAGTGACTCGTGTATGAGTTTGTGTTTGTGGTTAGAGTTGTTCAGAATATGAAATAGTTTCCTTATTTCGTTGGGTTAAAAGAGAAAACAAATGTTAACATTTTCTTGGAAGCAAACACTGACATTTCGTATTAACATCTTGTGTGTGTGTGTGATACAGTGGTGCTCAGGTAACACGTCACCTGTAACCTGGAGTAGTGTCGCACCTCCTTCGAACTTTCAATTCAGATCCATCTACATATAGAGCCAAACACCTGTCTGGACCCTTCAGTTCAAGATCATTAGCCAAGATTCACCTGAAAGAGCACACAGGTGAGGGCACAAGTGTCATAGTACACATTATTTACTAACACTGTCTGAACCTTATGAGTGTCTAGACCAGTGTTTCAGCGACTGATACTTGAACAGTGATTAATAAATGAGGCTACAATAACCATATTTTTCGTGATTTACATGTTTTATGAGGTTATAGCTCTTATAAAGAATATGTTATCAGTGGAATTGAAACTTACATAATATAAACAATACCTTGTAATGATAGAGAAGTGGGAGAGACATTTGAGAGCTGGATTACTCTTGAAAATGTAAACAGCATGAAGTATAAACTGCTTCATTTCAAATACACGGCAGAGAAGGAATACAATACTGACAGCTAGAACATATTTATTTGCATAAAAAAGGTGAAATTACCTGACTGTCAACATCAGAGCGTAAGAAGCAGTTTGTGTCACAACCATGATATCGTTGTCACCAGTAAAGGAATTATTTTCCAGAATAACTCATAACCCAGGAGGTATACGCGTAACCTGATATATAATAAAATAAATACAGATGAAGACACATGAATTAAATCATTACTGGTTTCGCTATTTCTCTTGGACAAATCGAATGAGTTATGTGGCAGCGTCGGACACGTACACACACTGTGGACAAAATTTTAAGCATTTGTCGGTGGTTTTAAGAGAAACAAATATGAAGAAACAACAGAGGCGCTGAAAAAAATGGAGAACGTTAATATAATTATGACAAATATTACCCGGACTGCACCACAAACACTGAACATCACAGACAAATTTGGAACAAAAAATATTTAATACATCATACACAGGGAACATCAACTTGGATTACAATTAAAAACGAAAACATAGAAACTCGCCAGTCAATATACACCAAGAACATAGATGATGTCCTAAATATAGACACGGTAACGCGCATAACTCTCACCATTATGTCAAGGGTTCGAGCCTCGGCCCCGACACACGTGAGAAGGGTGTTATCCAGTGTGACCCTCACTACCAAAGACCACAGGCTTCCCGGTCCACGGTTTCCTCCTGTACTAACACTGGATAAACCGCCCAAACGGCTAGTAAGCTGATAAGTGGCGAATATGACACAAAAAAGAGGTTTTAAGGACACCAACGTGAAGACAACAAAAGGTGTGTGAGGTGGTGGCGGTAGGTGGGTGCAGGTTCCAGTGTAGTTTTTTTTTTTTTATTGGGCACCCCCCTACATCTTGTGTAAGGTGAAGCGTAGAAGCGTTACAGCGCCCAACAGGGAAGCATGCTAAGTTCATGCTTGCCTTTATGTCTCATGAGTTAAGGGCGTAGGAGCCTGAAGGGAAGCCTGAAGGGCCAATCCTTTTTGTCATCAAGTTATTGGAAGCTCCAACAACTTGTCCCTGAATACGAATTAGCAACTTTCGATTTACAACAGGTACCTACTTTACTGCTCGTTGAACAGGGACCAATTGGGACTAGGAAGTACGTCCAAACAACTTTTCCACCGGCCCGGGAATCGAACCAGTGACATCTCGCTTGCAAGGCAAGGGCGGTACCGCTTCTACCACCGGCGCCCCGTTCCAGTGTAGTGTGTGATGCAGCGTGACGCAAGGAGTCGGGCACTATATCAGTTGCAAGGGCCCATTACTAAAACCAAAATAAAAAACAAGACATGATTCAATAAATGACTGTGACAGGGCAAGTGTCCTGGGTTAAACCTTGGGTAGCGAGGAGCTTCACTTGGCACACGTCCACCACACACACGGCATTGCATGACAATGTTCGTCTAGCTTGTTAATAATACTATCTACCGATTGTCACCTCACCTCTGCTTTGATCAATAATCTCCTTTGATATAAATTATTTCCCCATTTAGGTTGCTGTATGGCCACGTCAATACAGTGATGGTGGGATGGTATCATGGAAGTAGGTCCTTGCCTCTCACCTTATCTTGCTCGGTTGTTTGCGTGCGTGCGTGTACAGCGATGTGTCCTGGGTGGGGCGCAACTTGAATTCTCCTGATCCATGATATCATCTTCCATTTCCTCTGTATTGTAAGTCCTTCCTTTATCTTACTGTACCTGTACTAAGAGTCATTAACGTGTTGTGGTGTACAGGTGTGTGGTGGTGGCGGTATGGTTCAGGACGGTGGACCGGGGATGGACAATCCAGCTTTCACTAGCCCAGAGGACGCCCACCATGGTAAGTGAGTCAAGCTGTGTTAAACTTTATATTATCAGCCTCTACTTGTCCCTTTACCTGTTTGTAGGTATGGGTAGTGAACAATACTCATTCTGTCCTGACTCTCAAACACATGAATCTTATCCAACATTGTTTTCAAGTTTCTCAAATTCCTCACACATACATACACACACCACCAAGCACTGGAAAGGTTTGGTAGCCAACTAATGCACCACCCTCGTCATCGCCACCTCCTGCCACCGGCAGCCCCCCACCCACCTCAGGCAGTCAGCCACTACAACAAAATTCAGCCCATAAGAGCCCTCACCGATAGATATAAGAATAGCACCATCCCATCTATTGTTAAATTAATAAACAACTCCTGATTTATGTACTGTACAGCCCTGTAAATGTATTCAATTCATATTATATCATTATATCTAAATCAAATGTAAGTCTGTATATTTTCAGCCACCGGTTGCAACTCTATTAATAAACCGTTTATTATTATTATTATTACTATTGTACTGTACATCCTTGACCACAGGAGGGTCAAAACCTGTTAGGCCCTTGATGGCCGAGTGGTCGTAGAGTGGTTCCTGAGCTTCTCTCCGAGAGCCCCGTTTGGGGAAACCTACTTCCTAGTGTATGTGACTGCTCACTTATAGACGTGAGCTAAGTGTGCCTATTGGGTAATGGATGAGGTTTGCTACCCTCTTTCCAGGTGGACCGGCATGATCACGGTTTTCCTGGGAAGACTCGACAGAGGGATGGGTGCTTGCTCCAACCCCCTTTCGTGTTCACAATCTCCTGGGAGGGAGGTGAACAGAAGGGACCGCAGGACGAATACACTTTTGAGGGTGCAGGTCCCTAGGCCAGAGCGAAAAAAGGAAAAATAGTAGTAGAAGGAAAAGAGCTCAAACCACGTCGGGAATATCGCGCTATAGCTGCTCTCCAGCTGGAGTGTGGGTCACTCACACCACCAGTGGGGAGGGCAAACTAATGCTCGATAAACGGAAAACGCTCGTGAGATGTTGTCGACGATGTCAGTGGCGGATGGTCCGGTCAGGAAAGTTGGCCAACAATGGCAGCAGGGGGAGGGCGGTCTTCACACCTCCGGGTCCGGCAGTCGAGTGTATCACAGAGCTTTTCACAGTCACGTGACTTTTTAGCAACTTTAACCCATATTTTTTTACACTTATTGACCTAATTTATTTTAAAATATAATTACCATAGTGAATTTTAGCGTTTTCTTTACCCATTAACCTGCCATCTTACGAAAAAATTCCGACCGTCAACTCGTCAACTGTTGACTCATACCCCCAACCCCTTTCCCTTCCATTCCTCCTTCCCAACTGGATGTCAACAAAATTCCGCCAAAAGTGACAATTTCGATTCGGAAAGAAGTGGAATCAGTGATGAACAGTGTTTAGATAGCCTGCCACAAGACAGTGGCAGGCGAGAGTCGGCCCCATGTCTGATATACACAGTATACAATAGTGGTTTTAATGGGGGGAGGAAGGGTGCAAATCGGGCAATTGCCCAGGGCTCCACTATTTTGGGGTCCCCAAAAGCATTAATGTCCATAATATGTGAAGACATTATTGATAAGAGATATACTGTAGATGTTTAAGAGTTTTATATTTTCTTTCAAATTCCATCTGTAAAGGTTAGTTTTAATTTTATTTCTGTTGTTCTTACTAAACATTTTGAAGTATTACTCGACACATTACAGTAATGCGTGAAATAATGGTTCATAATACCGTTTTTTTCGGGTGCATGTTATGAGTAACGTATCGTCTTATTCAGCCTGTGCTTACTGTGGTCTGGTGGTCACTTTTTACTTTTTTTACTTTTATCCTCTTCACCACTGATCGGCTCGTTAGCCGTTTGGGCGATCGGTCACGTCTCTGTTACACACTGTTGGCAAATACTGGGCATGCACCGACTCCTGAATGTACCTGAACCTGCTCCAGTGTTGGTCAAGTCTTGTCTTGAAAGAGCTCACACTCGGTGCCGTCACAACACTTTCTGGTAGATTGTTCCAAGAGTTTACAACTCTCACTCCGAAAAAGTTTGCCCTCACAGTTTTCTGGACTTACGGCTTCTTCAAGCTTGAGCTGTGACCCCTTGTGGGGCGAGCGTCCGCCAGCTCCAAGTAAGGACACTCGACTGAGTAGTGCCCCTTGAAATGTTTATACACCTCAATTAGGTCGCCCCTTACTCGTCTGTAGTATAAGCAAGGCAAGTTCAGGAGCTCCAATCTCTCAGGGTAGCTCAGGTGCCGAAGTGCCGTGACCTACCTCTGTCTACCTACAGCCACCAACAAGCAACACCTCCTCCTCTACTCCTGCTTGGCGGCTCCCGCTCCCGCCGGCGACCATGGCGACCCACAAGCTGGTCCTTCTCTGAGCACCCTCACCAACCAGCTCTCTCTACATCACGCTTGTAACCATGCTGCCTTCCCAGCACCAAGCTGCATTGTACATCCAATACAAAATGTATACAGAGAGCACATTGTGCGTTTCCTTTCTCCTCCCCATCCTGAGTGTGAACCAATATCTCATAACCCCACAGTATCAACTACCTTCTTTTCAGGAGATCGTTGGTAGGGAGAGACTCTGTTATACACTTCATAAATACACCGGAAGATTGGTGTATTAGTGAGTTTACAATAATAATTATACACATTGAATAAGTCATTTTATCGTGAATAATCTCTCAGGATACAATTGATCGATGATATTTTTCCTTCCAACAGAAACTCGGCAGAAGAGTGAAGAAAATGTTAGCAGCGGTTCTGTGGAGACCAGTCGTCGACAGCTCACGGAGGAGGAGAGGAAGGAAAAGTTCGCCATCATGAAGAACATCATCATTATCTCCGTGGCCTTCACCTTCCTCTTCACCAGCTACAACTCCATGTCTAACCTCCAGTCCTCCATCAACAAGTGAGTTGAGATAACTGTTTATTTTTCTTACTGGTAGAATCTGCAAATTTCTTCAAGGTTTTTAGATATGAGTACTTTCCCTATCATGTCCAGAATTAGGGCACCAGCTCTTTCTATAGAATAATTACTGTACCTGTACTCTATATAAGGCTGTACTTACAATCAAATTTATGAATTTACACCTGCTCCAAAAAGTATCTTTACGATTTTGTGTTAAACAATATGACACAACGGACGAAGGATATTTACAACCCTACCGAGGCAACAGGAGTCTTGGGTGTGAGGAGGGAAAGTGAGCAGTAACTCAATTGGGAAGATTACAATGCAGAATAACGTTTTTTACAATACCGACGGAGTTTCCTCACCTCAGTGTACAGTAATCGTCTAGCACTTAACAGATGAAAATACTAAAGTTAAAATAGGATGAGACGAGAATGAATACATGTTGTAAGTAAAGTGTTACTTGTAAAAGGCGGCATTTATGTGCAAATAGGTTGTGGATATGTATAAATTTATATCATGTAGAAGTAGAGAAGTTTGGTCTAACTCCTTGACTTCAAGTTGAATTTCCCCAGCTGAATAAAATCGTCTGGTGGCAGCCATAATAAATAGATAAAAAAACATCGTACTGAAGAGATTAATTAACAATCAAAACAACCAGGAAGTGGCACCACATATTTATTGTAATACAAACTTGATGTGAACAAAATTAGTTCAGCTGGCGACAGACCTGTATAGAATCAACAACCATATTGTTCAGTTGTGTCAAACAGTGAGTTTAAATAAGAAAAAAAATATATTATTATTATTATTATTGTAGTTATGAAATGTGCAATTTATGATGCAAACTGATATTACTATTGGTTAAGGGTGTTAAAAAATAGAGTTTCTCTGATGTTCACTGGTGTTTCCAGTTTACTTTAGCAGTGCAAACTGTGGTGTTCACTAAGCGGTTAGGAGGCGACACCCAGGTGGGAAGGACATGGTTAGGAAACATTTGGTTACTTCGTAAAACGTTTTGTGGCCGTCCTAGGAAACATCAATAACTCAATAAACTGGTCATTAAAGACGCCAGTAATGGTTTGATTAAGATAAGCCATACTGGATTAAGATGGCCATCTGCAATGGTGCAGCTTACACTCAGGCCTCAGGGAAAGAAAGGATTGGCAACTCTAAGTGGTAAACGCAGGAGTAGAGCCAGCTGTAGGACTTATATTCACTCGTATTCTTGGTCAGGCAAATATTTCAGTGAAACATCATGTCGTACAAAATTACCACTCATTAAGGGTATTCCTTCGTCAGTAAAAATAGGCTGTCACAATGTTGTCAGCAATGGCACAGGACTGGTATACACGTCCTCCTCGCCTCTTTATATTCCAGGGTAGACGGGACGGCCTCGCTGACTGCCCTATATGCAGCCTACATTTTGTCCTGCTGCTTCGTACCGTCGTGGCTGCTGGTGAGGCTGAAGGAGAAGTACACGATGGCGGCGTCTATGTTGTGTTACTCGGCTTACATCGCAGCTCAGTTTTACCCTGAGGCCTACACACTGGTGCCCACGGCTATCATCCTGGGTCTTGGGGCAGCCCCGCTCTGGTCCTCAAAATGTACTTATTTAACCAAGGTACAGAATATTGGGCCACACTAACTGTACCTTTATTATTGGTGAATCTTACTCAAGTTGTTGCTTTTTGATCTTAGAAGAAGACCATATATCTTCCCAGGATGATCACCGCTTATTGAGTATTTGTGATTCGCTTCCAAGATAACCTTCACCGTTTGAATATCAGCAGTTCGTTTCTTATGATAGCTTCTTCAATGTATATTAACAGTTCGACTTACAGGATAATCTGAAACCCTTGCGAATTAGTAGTTTACAGTAATTCTCAAAATAGCTTCCACCAACTGAGTATTAGTAGCTCACTCAGTATTAGGAATTAGCTTTATAGAATGACATCTTTTCTGTGTAAGAGTAATTAGTTTTCCATGATAGCTTTTGATATAAACAAACGTTGTTCTTGGGCAGGTTGGCGCCAGATACAGCGAACTGGCAGGTGATAGCAGGGACATCATCATCACAAAGTTCTTTGGCATCTTCTTCATGTTCTTCCAGTCGACGCAGGTGTGGGGCAACCTCATCGCTTCCCTTGGTAAATGTCCCCTTTAGAAGTATTTTTTTTAATACTTAAAACGGAACGTGAACTGTTGTTACACGTCATGACTAGTTACAGTATGTCACTTTATCTTTCTGTTACTAAGATCCTTCTCTCTTCTTTCCCAATCTTTCTTTGTTGTTTGATTTTTACTTTTCTTTCTCCATTTTCTCTATCTACCCTTTTTTTCTGTGTATCTCCCATATTCTATTTCTTGTTCTTTCTCTCATGTCTTCTCTTTATCATAATCTCTCCTACTCCCTTTATTAATCTTTCTCTTAATATTATTCCTTCGCATCAGCTCTCCCGATGTTGCCTCTTCTTCTCTCATCAACTCTACCAGTAGTCTCACACCTCCACCAGTGTTGTCAGTAGGTGTGAAGGATGTCAACAGGACACAGGAGGTGTCACTGGAGTCTTGCGGGTACAACTTCTGCATCTCTGGTTCTACTGACAACACCAGCAGCACCGACCCTGGCGAGAGGGAAGGTCCGCCTCTCTGGCAGATCTACACTATGGCCTCCATCTACCTCGCTTGTTCCCTCCTCTCCGGCGTCATCATTCTCGTGTTTTTGGATCCTCTCAGTAGGTAGGTGGTCCATTGACTCCTTGTTCCTATAATCCATTGTAAGTAATATTGCTCAGTTATCTTGGATGGCGGGCATCAGGTAGGGTCCAGGTATTCTTTCTTGAATTTCCATTCTGCCGAACCTCTGCCTAACAAAATTACTTTAAACCCCAGATCAGCACTGTGTGGGACTCTGCATCTCTGGGTTTTTTCTTGTTTCATATAAACCCAAGATTTGACAGTGATGCTTGTTTTAATGCACACAGGTTCCTTCCAGTTATAAATGGCCTAAAAGTTGTTATATCAGAACGGTCTAACAGTTGTTATATCAGAACAGAATATATCCCCAGAAATATCTCAGCTCTTGTAGCCTGTAGTAAGACTGAATCAAGAGCCAGCTTGCTCCATCCGTGCCGTTGCATATTACTTAGCCTGGCATTTGTGTTGTGGTTGGCAAATGAATAGTCACACCAGAGACAAAGCAACAATAATAGTAGCAAATGTGTCGATCATTACATAATGACACTAAAGAAACTTCTATCATGTGGTTGTGCCTTCAGGTTTAAGAACACTGAAGATGGTGGCAGCAGTGGGAAGAGCAGCCTCCAGCTGCTGGTGGCCACCTTCAACCACCTGCGTCACCCGTACCAGCTGCTCATCGTCCCCATCACCATCTGGTCTGGTCTTGAGCAAGGCTTCCTAACCGCTGACTATACTGCTGTGAGCATCCAATAATAATAATAATAACAATAATAATAATAATAATAATATTATTATTATTATTATTGTTATTATTATTATTATTATTATTAATTAACGGTTTACTAAAAGAACATGACAGCCAAAGGGCTGAAAAAACAGTTGCATAATTGGAGAATGGGTCACTTGATTGGCAAATAATATACAGGTAACATAAGTGATAGAAATACGATATATAATAACAAAGTGGGGAGGTTATACTACAGGGCATTTCAACATAGTAAGAGTGGCTGAGAGTGAACACACTGGTTAACTACTAGTTGTTCATAATGTTTACAATGGTTGGGACTGAGTTGTTCTTAAAACAATCAATAGTGCTCCTTTGGGCTGGATGCGGTTATAGTGCCGCACTCCACACCATGACGTTTGGAGGAGCTCCACACAAGATGTCAATACATTTGAGTTAGCCAGACTGCACACCAAGGCAGACAAGCACCAGTACCGGAAAGACGCTGTTTCCATCCCTCCAGCACTAGATGTAGCCCCCCACACGTGTTACATCTGTGGACAGCCCTGTCAGTCCTGAATCAGCCTCTCGATTCACTTAAGAGCTCATCAACGAAGGTGACATCTTTAATAACTCATAACTTGATCATCGTCATATTCGATTCCTGGTGACAGCAAAGTAGTAGCAGTAGTAGTAGTCTTTACACTAAGGAAGAGACAGGAAGAAAACTGAACTCGTTAGTGGTGATGAGAGTATCTTGATATAGCCGTGCTCTGGAGAAAAAAAACTAATGCTAGCAATGTTTTTTCCAGGCTTACGTCTCGTGCGGTTTAGGCCTGCACATGGTGGGGTACATTCTCGTATTCTACGGTTTGTGTGATGCCTTGTGTTCCATTGGGCTCAGCAGGCTGGTGAAGTTAGTGGGGCGTGTGCCTGTGTTTACCCTGGCTTTCCTCATCAACCTGGCGCTCATCATCGTTCTCATTTATTGGCTGCCACACCCGGACGACTTGCTGTGGTTCTTTATCATCGCCGGCCTCTGGGGGTCGGCTGACGCCGTCTGGCAGACGCAGATTAACTGTAAGATTCTGGCAATACGGTTTTCAATGTCCCCCACATTTTTCTTTACCCATGCTGAGGATATGATTGAAATAAAGGGATTGCAAGATATTGAGCTGCAGTGAAAAACATAACAATGATGATTTTTATACCGGTATTTCACTCTATATCTTTCACCGGCGATATATTTCTAATATGCTAAGGTTAACATCCCTCAACAGCACTGTACGGTGTGATCTTCCCCGGAGAGTCTGAAGCAGCGTTCAGCAACTACCGTCTATGGGAGTCGCTCGGGTTCTTAATCGCCTACGCCTGCAGCACCGTCTTCTGTATCGAAGCCAAGATCAACATCCTCATCATCTCCCTCCTTGTGGGCATCGTCGGTTACTACGTCGTTGAGGCCCTGGAGAAGATGGGAGGCCTGAAGAAGGACAAGGAAGGCAACGTTATGACGCTTGATCGACTCTTTGTTAGATCTTGACTCTCCCTGTGATGCTTGAGTGTGGTAGTGAGCGTATGTTTTGTCTAGCTATTTTTTCGGGGATTAGCCCACCCGGGCACAGGTTACTGACCCACATCTGGGCCTGGGGACGAAAATGTAATACTAATAATATTAATAATAATACTACTACTAATAATAATTCATAGTAAATAAAATTTATAATAAATAATACAAATTTAAAATAAAATTATTGAATAATAATGATAATAATAATAACAACACTGTAATTATAATAATAATGATAATAATAATAATAATAATAATAATAATAATAATAATAATAATAATAAAGAAATACAAAAATGAAAAAAAGATCAAGAGCGAGAAACAATATGTGAATGCTGTGTTAACAATAGTAAGAGAAACAATTGAGACCCTGCAATTGTGTGTAAATGAGGCAGAAAGTCAGATCAGCAACTTGGGACTTGGTCACATTTTTTGTGGTGCCATATAGCAGCAGGGTCTACCCTTAGACAACACATTATGCTTCCAATATCTTCCCAGGCAGTAGTACCCCCCTGTTTGGTAGCTGCCTACTACCTACAACATGCAATACTGTCTTGTTCACACGAGCTAGAGTGTATTGTGCCTTGTTCATCCTGCATACTGTTTTAATGCTTTGATGATCATGAAAGGTATACTGTGCCTTGTTAGAACATAAGAACATAAGAAAATAAGGAGTCTACAATAGGCCGGTTGGCCTGTGCATGGCAGCTCCTGTCGAGAGTTACTACCACTCTCTATCATCCATGAATCTATCTAGCCTCCTTTTGAAACTTTCCAGAGTTCCAGCACTTACTACAAAGTTGCTAAGCTTGTTCCACTCGTCCACCACCCTATTTGTGAACCAGTTTCTTCCTATCTCCCTCCTAAACCTAAACTTATCCAACTTAAATCCGTTGCTCCGAGTCCTATCCTGCTCGGATATTATAAGAACTTTATCTATATCACCTTTATTGATTCCTTTCACCCACTTGAATACTTCTATCATATCTCCCCGCACTCTTCGTCTTTCTAGGGAATGCAAGTTTAGTTTCTTTAACCTATCCTGATATGGAAGGTTTCTAAGTCCCGGAATCATTTTCGTCATTCTTCGCTGCACCGACTCTAGTGAATTGATATCCATTCTATAATAAGGGCACCAGAACTGAACCGCATAATCGAGGTGCGGCCTGACTAGCGCAAGATATAGTTGCAATAAGACCTCTGCACTCTTGTTACTTACACTTCTAGATATAAAACCCAATACTCTGTTTTCCTTATTTCGAACATTAACGCACTGTTTTCTAGGCCGTAGGTCCGGGCTTACAAGTACCCCTAGGTCTCTTTCACAAGTCGACTTCTCTAGGTTGATGTTGTTAAGGCTGTATATATTATAAGTATTTGTTCTTCCAATATTAAGTAAGCTGCACTTGCTGGTGTTGAATTTCATTTGCCATTTTTCAGACCACCCCTGCAGTTTATTTAGATCCTCCTGTAAAGCATTTGAATCCAGCCCTGAATTCATTTGCCGCCCTATTTTGGTGTCATCCGCAAACTTGCTTATGTCACTGCTGATCCCAGTATCTAGATCGTTTATGTAGATTATGAACAAGAGTGGGCCTAGTACTGACCCCTGGGGAACCCCACAGGTTACACGGCCCCACTCAGATTTAACACCATCTACGCTGACCCTCTGCGTTCTATCGGTGATCCATGATTTTATCTAATTTAAAACTTTCCCCTCGATACCATGAGCCTGAATTTTTCTCAGAAGCCTCTGATGCGGTACTCTGTCAAATGCTTTGCTAAAGTCTAAGTAAATAACATAGTAATTTTCGTCATTATCTACTACCTCGAAGACTTTCCTAAAAAACGTTAGCAGATTTGTTAGACAAGATTTTCCTTTTGTAAGCCCATATTGAGATTCGTAGATCAATTTTCTTTTCTCTAGATGCGATCGGATGCTATCTGCTATAATTGATTCAAGAAATTTCCCCACTACTGACGTCAAACTGATCGGCCAGTAATTTGACGCTGATGCTCTGTCTCCCTTTTTGAATAGGGGTACTACATTTGCCTGTTTCCACAAGTCTAGCACAACTCCCGTGTCTAATGATTTTGTAAATAAGTTTACGAGGGGTCCGCTAATCTGTTCCCTACACTCTTTCAAGACTCGAGGGAAAATTTCATCCGGCCCTGGGGATTTTGTTTTCTTTAGCTTATTTATCTTCTTAAGAACATCCTCTTTTCTGATAGTGATATTCTTTAATTTCTCTTCTTCCTTTCCCTTAAATATCAGTTCCACCTCTGGAATTTCATCTCAAATTTCTTCTGTGAAAACTGATAAGAAGTAGCTGTTCAATGCTTTGCTTATTTCTTCACTGTCATCGATCACTTCTCCCCTCCCTGACTTTAAAGGCCCAACTTTGTCCTTGACCTTTGTCCTATATACCTGGAAAAATCCCTTGGGATTCGCCTTGGATTCTCTTGCTATTTTGATTTCATAGTCTCTCTTTGCCTTCCTTACATTTTTCTTAACATTCCTAGATAGTTCATTATACCTATCCCTGAGCTGCTCCTCCCCTCCCTTTAATTTCTTATATATTCCTTTCTTTATTCCTATGTAATACATTATAAAATATTCTTACATTTATTTTTTTATTTTTTTTTACGGGGATTAGCCCACCCCGGCACAAGTCACTGACCCACATCGAGTGCCTGGGGGGCGAAAATATAATAATAATAATAATAATAATAATTCATAGTAATAAAATACATAATTAAAATACAAAATTTAAAATAAAATAGTAAAATCGTAATAAGTAATAATAAATAACCATAAATTAATACAAAAATGAAGGAAGATCAAAAGTGAGAAACAATATACAGTATATATGTTGTGTTGTCAAGGTAAGAAAAACAATTAGGACCCTGCAATTGTGTGTAAATGAGTCAGATCAGCAACCTGGGACCTGGGACCTGGGACCTGGTCACAATTTTCGTGATGCCATATTGTGGGGTTATGAGATATTGGTTCACACTCAGGATGGGATGGAGAAAGGAAACTCACAATGTGCTCTCTGTATACATGTTGTAATAGATGTACAATGCAGCTTGGTGCTGGGAAGGCAGCATGGTTACAAGCGTGATGTAGAGAGAGCTGGTTGGTGAGGGTGCTCAGAGGAGGACCAGCTTGTGGGTCGCCATGCTCGCCGGTGGGAGCGAGGACCGCCAGGCAGCCGGAGGAGGAGGAGGAGGAGGTGTTGGTTGAAGAGTGGCTGTAGGTAGAAAGAGAGGTAGGTCACCACGAGGTCAGGTCTTATGTAGCGGAGGTAGGCGTGGCTTAATAGTTGACCTCCGTCATGTAAGGCGGCACTGGTTGACCTAGACCAGAGGCATACACTGGGGAGTCCGAGGATCGGCAGTCAGCGACAAACGGCGTTTGTAGGGGAGGAATCCACGACAATATATCAAAATAACTGCTGCATTTCACAGAAAACAATCAAAAGACCGAGTTTACACAATTATAATACGAAATTATGCCTCGGCATAATAATATTATTTTAGTACTAGACTATAACTTGCAAAAGAGCATCTGCTATTTATCATAAAACATTAATAATGAAGTATATTATCAAGTTGTAATACCTAAATTAAATTTGTTTTTTAATCGTTCTATAATTTCTAATTTTTATTGTATACAATCTAAAATATACTATATATATTTATTATTAACTGTAAGTGTACAGGTGTGGGGTGGCCGCTGGTGTAAACAGAGTTGCCAACTTAGCGACTTTGTAGCTAGATCTAGAGCTTTTTGTTTTTTTCTAGCGACATTTTAGAGCGATTTGCGACTTGTCCCAGACCTAGAGATATCCACAGAAGTCTAGCGACTTTCTGGATACTTTTGGACTGTCCATGAAAACTCAGTTTTCCTAATTTCGAGCCATAATATATAGCAACGGGGTTACAGGGACAATATACAATAAGAAAAGTTTAATACATTTGAACGGGTCGTGGTACAGAAGGAGGGACACGTCTATCTCCTGATCACTTGATGTCAGCCCGTCCATGCATCTAACACCCTAAAATTGTGGCCAGAAGTGGCAAATTACAGAGATGCGACCGGTGAAAACCCTTACCATGATCTGGCTGAAATTGCACTCGCTGCCTTATCTCTTCCGCATTCAAACGCAGATGTAGAGCGCACATTTAGTAATATGAACTTTGTGAAATCAAAATTGCGCAACAAAATGAAACTATCGACATTAAAGACAATTCTTACAATAAAGTATGGGTTAAAAAGATAGAACACCTATTGTGAACTTCCTAGTGATATTTTAAGAAAGATAGGGACTGTGGAGGCATACAGTTACAAGAGAACCTGAACCAAGCACTTCACATGCTTCCAGCTCTACAATTGTTCACACTACGAAGAGGACTGGGATGCAATTACTATTGAATAATAGGTAAGTGTGCACATTAACCTTTAAAAAAAATATTATTTGTATTTTTACACAATGCATTTTATTTATACTGAAAGGGGGGGAATAATAGCTAGCGACTTTCCATGGAAGATTTAGCGACATTTAGCTAATTTTAGGTACCAGCCTAGCGACATTAATCCGAGTTGGCAACACTGGCCGCTGGTGTAAACAGTGACACGTGTTGTGGCCTGACACTTGACGGTACTCTGAGGGGGACGGCACTTTTGAGTGGTATGGGTATTAGAATTCACTAATATAATTTATTTAAGGTTAGTAAAATAGGAAGATACTCAGAGGTGGACAGTAACGAAGGAAAGTTTACTCAAAGTCCATCCAAACTAGATGTGTCTTTACCCAGGGAGGGAGACCAGTAGCCTGTGTAAGATCCCTCATTGTTCTTGATAGTCTTGTCTAGTGTTATATTGAAGAACAGTACTGTTATTGATTCCACAGGTTGATCTGGTAGACCATTACCATAGATTTACCCCTTCTGTCTGAAGATGTATTTTCTAATGCTCGTTTTGCATGAGCTTTGTCTTACTTATTTTTTTTACTTTTATCCTCTTCACCACTGATCAGCTCGTTAGCCACACTGTTGTTAAGTACTGGGCATGTACTGGCTCCTGAATGTACCTG